AAACCCAGGTTCAATCTCTGGCACCACATCTGGTTCCCCCAGCACTGCTCGGAGTAATCCCTGAGTCTGGAGCAGGAGCAAGCCTGGAGTACCATCTGCTGTGCTCCCTCCCAAAAGACCAAAAAGTTCATTTCTAGAGCTTTTTCTGAGACTTGCTTATTCATATATCTTTGATCACTTGATCACTTGACTTCCCGTTAATCGAAGATTTGCTCGAGCAGGCGCCAGTAATGTCTCCATTTGTCCCTGTCGCGTGCTAGTGTAGCCCAATGGCATCTGTTCGTTCTAGGAACAGGAAGAGCCTCAAACTGATCATTCATGATCTTGATGAAGAAGTCTGACCATCTGATAGGTGGGCAGCCACGCGGTCTTTTGACATCCCGTGGAATCCAGTCAGTAACGGCTCTAGTCCAGCAGTCGTCTCTAAATCTCATTACGTGACCAGCCCATCTGATTTTTGACGCCTTGGCAAACGAGACAGTGTCCCTGATTCTCGATCGTCGATGGGAGGTTGAAACTCCGGATTCTTTCTCTCATTTGAGTGAAACTTGATACTCCAAGCACAGCTCTTTCAATTCCTCTTTGGGAGACCCAAATAGCGAATAGTGTTCTCATCCTGTTTGCGTAGGGCCCAGGCGTATGTTAATGCAAGAAGAACAGTGGAATCAAAGAGATGTGCCCGGAGCCGGAGGTTCTTCATCCTCTTAGCTATTTCTTCGACGCTCTTGAAGGCGTTCCAAGCCTCTCTCTTCCTCCTGCACAGTTCGGGTGCCAGGTCATTTGTCATGTTGACTTCTCGACCTAGGTACACATAACTGTTGCATTCGGAGATGGTCGGTCCATTGAGAGTGAATGCAGCGTCAGGAACGAGGCTGTTTCTCATAAACATTGTTTTCATAAGATTCAGCTGTAGTCCGACCCTTCCACACTCACAGTCGAAGTCGGCCAGCATTTGTGCCGCTTGGCAAGCTACCGAGAGTATTCCGCCCACACAACAGAGCCTCGCAAGCTATCCGTTGTGTATTCGATATGCCAAAACCAGTAATTACAATGGGTCTCATTCCCCTGACCCTGAAGGCGCCATATATCTTTACCTCTTTTAATTTTCTATTTAATTTAGGTTTATTTTGCATGCACTTTTTATTGTCAGTGGTAGTGTTCTCTGGGAACTATAGAGGCGTACTTGCTGCGGGGCTAGGGATTTCATTCAGTGATGCAGGGCAGTCCAGAGAATCATAAGGCGGACCCCACACAAGTAAGGCATGTGCACTACCACTCAATCACATTGCCAGCCCCACGTGTAACTCCAAGTGTTTTAGACAGCAGGAAAAAAAAAAACAAGGAGTTTTTCATATAAGGGTCAAATATTTTCTCTTTTCTCATTTGTCTTTTGTTTTGCTTATAGCCAAGCAACTCTTTTTCATTTTTTTTCTTTTCTTTTTTTGCTTTTGGGGTCACACCTGGCGATGCACAGGAGTTACTCCTGGCTCATGCACTCAGGAATTACTCCTGGCAGTGCTCAGGGGACCATATGGGATGCTGGGAATTGAACCTGGGTCAGCCATATATAAGGCAAACATCCTACCTGCTGTGCTATCGCTCCAGTCCCGCAACTCTTCTTTTTAAAAATCACTGATAAATTTTTTTCTGTTTGCTCGTCTGTTTTGAGGCAGCAGGGCTCTGGGGATTCTCCTGGTTCTGTGCTCAGGAGTGTTTGGGAGACCAAACATGGTGCCAGGGACCGAGCCAGGGTCAACAATGCATAAGACAAGTGCCTTAACCCTTGATAACGACTGATCCAGCCCCTCAAAGATAAATTTAATCTTTTGTTGCCTCTACTTTTTTTTATTTTAAAAAAAAAATTTATTTTATTGAATCACCGTGTGATCAGGCATTCCAAAGCTGTTCATGATTAAGTTTCAGTCATACAGTGCTCCAGCACCCATCCCTCAAACACTGCAGAATTTCCCAGCATCTAGATTTTTAATCACACACAAAAAAACCTTCCTCCAAGCTATAAAACTATGCAAGTAATTTTTCTTTTATATCTATTTTCAACATTTAGATCTGATTCAATTAGAGTTCATTCTGATATATGTATGTGATACAGAGCCAACTTTACCCTTTCAGAGGAACTATCCATTCAACTGTCAGCATAATTCATACTAAAGGCATATTCTGTCTTGCTCTTCAAGCCCGTGTTCTCCCTTGAACACGGATCTCACTAACTTGCCTCTGTTTTCTTGCTTATGTCCACTCTGGAGAGGCCTGCATTCTCTTTCAAACAAATATATATATATATGTATATATACATATATATATATATAAAATCTCCCTTCACATCTTTCTAAATAAGTTTCAATTAAACTTCACAAAAAAATAAACTGAGATTTTTAAAAATAAAAGTGTATTTCCCCTTAAGGAAACAAGCAGACTCATTTATCTTATAGAAATTCCTACACATTCTCAAGTACATTCCTGGAATTTCATCCCATGAGATCTGTCAGTCTCATGAGGAACCAGTACAGTGATTTTAACTAAGGATGCTTTACAATGAAGTTCCACTGATAAAACTAGTTGTTCTCATTACTAGTTTGCCAAGGTTTTCATAACTATACTTTTTCACATAAGCAAACTCAGGGAAAAAAATAAACAGAAATTTTTAGTGCGGTGGTAATAAACTTATGTACTTCCTTCAAAGATCTGATATCTTTACAATACTGATTTACTCAACTTACTTTGTGACACTTGTTCAAGTCACTCAAAAACATTTAAAATTCTTCCTCAAAGATTCAGAGTATTTCTTTTTAGGTTCCAGGACAATGGCTCAAAGGGGTGGAGCATGTGCTTCTGATGTGACAGGCTGGATTCCATCCCCAACACCACATGGTCCCTGAGTACTGCAGAGTGTGTTCCAAAAATTTAACTTAAAAAAATTCTTCCCGCCTTTTCCCCTTGGAAGCAGCATTGTGACTGCCATCTTTCAGAGCCTACTGGACAGAGATATGAGCTTGCAGTGACAGGGCACACAGGGCCTCTCAGGATGGGGGACAGAACCAGCCCTTCTCCCCGCCCAGACAAGACCCGAGTTGCCGCCCACGAATGGCTCTTCCACTCCTGAACAGCCATAATCCCAGAGGCAAACAACCCAATCTTGGAACCCAGCGGCTTCTGGCAGAAATCCCTCTGAACAATACCAGAAATCCAAAATCATATGCTCTTCATTATCAGCAATAGAAAACAAATTGTCTAATGATGCCTTTTCAGTAGGTCTGATTGTTGGGGGGAAATTCCAAATAATAATAGTGGGTCTTCTGTAGAAAAATTGAATGTAATCAAAGTAAAGAGAGAGTAAAGTGAAAATCATCTGCCACACAGGCAGGGGGAGTGGTGGAATGGGGGACATATGGGGGTTTTTGCTGGTGGAACATGTGCACTGGTGAAGGGATGGGTATTTGATCATTGTATATCCGAGACTTAAACCTGAAAGCTTTGTAACTGTTCTCACGGTAATTCAATTAAAAAAAATTCTTTCCATTCTATAAAATAACTTAATAGGAGAGACACCCACGGATGGTAGACACAAGGGCCAGGAAGACTGCTCCATGTTTGGAAGCCTGCCTCATTAGCCAGGGAAGAAGGCAGCTGGAATACAGACGGGATCACTAAATCATTGATGGTTAGAGGAATCATTCAGGATGGTAGACGTGTGCTGAAAGCAGATAAAGGACCAAGCCTCTCAGTATCTATACTGCAAACCCTAACGCCCAAAAGTACAGAGAGAGTATGGGGAATACTGTCTGCCATAGGAGCAGGGAGGGCTAGGATGGGGGGAGGGGGGAGATATTGGTGGTGGAAAATGTGCACTGGTGGAGGGATGGGTATTCAATCATTGCATGACTGAAACTCAAAACATGAAAGCTATGTAACTATATCTCACGGTGATTTAATAAAAGAAAATGGGGAAAAAAATAAGCTATAGAGGCTGGAGCAATAGCACAGAGGGTAGGGCGTTTGCCAGGTCAACCCAGGTTCGATTCCCAGCATCCCATATGGTCCCCTGAGCACAGCCAGGGGTAATTCCTGAGCGCAGAGCCAGGAGTAACCCCTGTGCATTGCTGGGTGTGACCAAAAAAAAAAAAAGCTAAAAGCCAATATTAAGTAAAAAAAAAGTTCTTTCCATGCAAAATAATTATACAGGGGTGGAGCGAGGGAAACTGGGACATTGGTGGTGAGAAGTATACACTGGTAAAGGGATGGGTGCTGGAACATTGTATGATTGAAAACCAATCATGAGCAACTTTGTAGCTGTGTATCTCACAGTGATTCAATGAAATAAATAAATAGTTAAAAAAAATAGTTTCATGCACTTACCTTTATCTTTATTGAGGTATAATCAATTAACATTTTAAGAAGGTGTTAGTTCAGGTGCACAAAAAGATTCAAGATTTGTATATATTGTGAAATGATCAAGGCAGTAAATGGTTACCTTCTGTCACAGACATAGCTAGAAAAACTATTTTCTTATGATGAGAAATTTGAAGCGGTAGGGCGTTCGCCTTACAAGCGGCCAACATGGCCGACCCGAGTTCAATTCCTCCACCCCTCTCGGAGAGCCCGGCAAGCTACCGAGAGTATTCGATATGCCAGACACAGTAACAACAAAGTCTCCAATGGAGACGTTACTGGGCCCGCTCGAGCAAATCGACGATCAACAGGAGGGCCTTTACCTTACCTTTACCTTTACTGGCTCAACAACCTATAAATATGCAGTATAGGACCGTGATCTACATTACTGTGCTGCATATCACAAAACCAGGATCACTTTCCTCTCTATCTACCTTTTGATCCCGAACCCCATTCCATCCAGTTTCCCTCTTCTTGTCTCCTGGCAACCAACAACCTGTTCTCTGGAGAGCTAAGTTCGCTTTGTTGTTTTGTTTTTGTTTCATTCCACGTATAAGGGAGAACAAACAGCATTTGCCCCCAGAATACTATACCTTCTCTTTCTTCACATGATTCATAATCATGCCAAGATCTTCAACATCCACCACAGAATTTAGTCGCTGAAGGTCCTCAGTACTAGCCTCTTCCTCGCTGGAGCTCTCAACAGGCTCCTCCTGGAACATGATCAAAGTGGCAGAAATTCATTACTCAAAGTTGCAAACCATGTACCATTCCCGTCTTTCGGAAAAAAATGTGACTTCACTGGGGATGTGAGATATTTTAGAAGAAGAGAGGTGAGCAAACTATAATCCACAAGTACAGCCCTTATGTATGAGTAACAGCTGGCTTCTAATCAGAAACCAAAGAAGGTACCAGAATGATAGTATAGCAGGTAGGGCATTTACTTGCACAAAGACGACCCATATTTCATCCCTGGCACCACATACAGTCCCAACACCCCGCCAGGAGTGATCCCTGAGTACAGAGCCAGGAGTAAGTCCTGGGTACTGCCAAATGTGCCCCCAGCGCCCCCCCCCCCAAAAAAAAGACAATTAACTACTTGAATCCAGCAATTCAATGATTAGAGAAGAGATACCGAAGCCAATGAAACTGTTAGTTGGGACAAGGTAAGACTCGGTGTCCCCAGAGCATCAGACCGTGGCCCCTCATGCTCCACACCTCGCTATCCTGGCAATGAGGTCCGGCTCGAGGGGGGGTGCCTGGCTCTGCTTCCGGGGGGCCATGCCGATTAGACTCGCATGGACTATTCTTGCAGCGACCCCCACAGGCTTTCTTCTCTCCTTTCTGAAGCATCTGCAACCGGGAGATGAACTTGGTCTTCCAAGCTCCAAAGTCGGCTTCGATGCTGCCGTGTTTGCTCTTCACCACATCACAGTCACCCTCCCCTCGAGCCATCACACGGGAAGCCCCCAGCATCCAGAGCCACTTATCAACGTGCTTGCCAACCTGTGGGAAAAGGAGCTGGTGAGCGCCTGCTGGAACCCTCTGCCACAGAACCCTGCACGCAGCTTTGCACACTCTGTGCTCCAGGGCTCCAGAGCCCATCACAGGCCTAACAACGGCCGTGGATCTGCTCGGCAAACAACACCTGGGGCCCCCTATGCGTCAGCCCACCTCAAGCTAGTACATTCTGACAGTCGCCTACCTAAAACTTATTTTTTTTAAGAAAGGACAAATAACCCCTTTACCAAACTAAGGGTTTATACTAAAAGGGAATTTGAAAATAACTATACTACATCACACTCGGGAGCCAAGGACATGGGCCTAAGTGTATAGGACTCCGGAAGGGGATGGCCCTCAAGCACAACAGAGGTGTGGCTCCCACAACAACAGTAATGAAGAAACAAAATAAAAATAAGTCACAGTGACAATTAAAACAATTCACTAACAAAATGAGTATGTTCCAAAGCTCAAATGGGTCAAAGCCCAATGAATGACAAAATGCAAATAGAGTTCATTTGGAACAACTCTCCCAGAGCACTTTTATACTCTCAGAAATATTTCTGAACAAGTATGAGACGAATACTCAAAGACAATAGAAACAAGGGCCAAGAGGAGTGGTCTGTGGTTGGAAGCTTGTCACAAGTGGTGGCAGGAAAGGAGAGAGGCATGCACTTAAGACAGAAAAGGAACCACTATGATAATTAGAAATAATCACTCTCTGGACATGAACTGAGTGCTGGGGCTGGAACAAAAGCACAGAGAGTAGGGCATTTGCCTTGCATGCGGCAGACCTGGGTTCGATTCCCAGCATCCCATATGGTCCCCTGAGCACCACCACAGGAGTGATGCCTGAGTGCAGAGCCAGGAGTAACCCCTGAGCATCGCTGGATGTGACCCAAAAAGCATAAAAAATAAATAAATGAGTGCTGAAAGGAGGTAAAGTGATATTCATGATAACCTTTCAGTATCTGTACTAAAAACCACAACCCCGAGACAGAGAGAGAGAGAGAGAGAGAGAGAGAGATCTGGAGACATTTGGCTGGAAATGTGCACTGGTGGAGGGATGGGAGTTAGAAGATTGAAACCCAATCATGAACAACTAACTGTGTATCTCACGGTGATTCAATTAAAAAAAGTCGAGGGGGAAGGGGAGTATGTATTTGATGGCAACATAAAGCATCTAAACTAAGGCACAGGGGTTACCAGGGAGCACAGTCAGAGCTTAAAAATCCTGACAGGGATGTGGCTGAGTGGCGGGGAGCACCCACTCTGCCATGGAGTGGATTTTTTTTTTTTTTTTTTTTTGCGGGATGACACCATGCAGTGCTCAGGGTTTACTCCTGGCAGGACTCGGGGATCAGTAAGCCATATGCAAAGCAAAAATAAATAAATAAATAAATAAATACTTTCCTGCTCCACCATCTCTCCAGCCCAAATTATTTTTTTAATTAAAAGGAGAATTATAGAAATGAGTCAGCAAGAGAGGGACAAAGAAAGATTTCATTCATCTGGGGAACATAAAGTAATAAAATAGAAGACTAACACCCAAGAATAGCCAAAATAAGTACCAGGAGGTTCACTCCATGGCTTGTAGGCCAGCTGCACATTCTAGGGGAAAAGACAACTCAGATAGAAAAGGGAGCACCAAATAAAGGATGTTGGGAGGATCCTCCCAGGATGGGAGATGCATGCTGAAAGTAGACTGTAGACCGAGCATGATTGCCTCTTGGTGCCTCTTTTGCAAAACATAGCACCCAAAAGTAAGAGAGAACAAAAAGGAATGCCCTGCCACAAAGGCAGGGTGGGATGGAGGGGATGGGGGGTTGGGAGGGGTACTGGGATCAGTGGTGGTGGAGGATGGGCAGTGGTGGACGGATGGGTACTCGATCATTGTATAATTGAAATCCAAGCACAAAAATTTGTAAGTCTACAACTGTACCTCAAGGTGTTTCACTAATAAAAAAATAAATTCAAAAAAAAATGGAGAGACTTAAATGAATAAAATCCACATATATTTCACTGTCACTGTCACTGTCTTCCCGTTGTTCATCGATTTGCTCGAGCAGGCCCAGTAACGTCTCCATTGTGACAATTGTTACTCTGTTTGGCATAATGAATACATCACGGGTAGATCCACATATAATTCACAAGAAAAAAAAAAGGGGAATTATAGGAAAAGCTCAGCATATACCGCCTACCTCGTACCTACCTTGTTAAAGTGGCTCACATAGGCAGAATTTCCTAGGCCAAACACGGCGTATCTCAGACCCTTCAGGTAAGTTCTGCCAAATCGAAAATCACTGGATGCTTCCTCCAGCCATTTGCAGAACCACTCTGCGCTCTCAGGGGGGCGGCCGTCGGTGTATGTAGCAACCAGGAAGGCACAGACACTTTTACTGGTCACCTAGCCAAGAGAGAAGTATTCAAGTATTCTGAATATACATGATCTCAATGAAGAAAACCCTTTCTCAGACACTGACATTCAAAAGGGAGAGACACATAGGGGTCTCTCATAGGTGGAACTTACAGATACACAGCAGGGGAGCAACAAAGAGCCAAAGGAGAGACACACCCCTGAGCTGGTGAGGATTGAAAGAGCGGGGTGCGCGGGTCCTTGGGAGAGAGAGTGATGGCTGTGGTGTTGGCATCATGTGAAGAGTAAACCACAAACTCTCAGTCAGCAAAAATATGTTTTTAAAAATTAAAAAATAGATTGGAGGTGGTGGGAGGGATACTGGGATCATTTGTGGTGGCGAATGGGCACTGGTGGAGGGATGGGTACTCGATCATTGTATAACCGAAACCCAAGCATGAAAGTTTGTAAGTCTACAACTGTACTTCGTGGTGTTTCACTAATAAAAATTAAAAAATAAATAAATAAATAAATAAATAGATACTGGCATTTAGGACCAGGGGTCTGGTTCAAATACTCAAGCAAACGTGTTGGATATAGGAGGCCCTGTGCTCAATTCTGGCACCAAGCGGCACCCCAGTCACTACCTGTGATTCACAGGGGAATGGCCCCTAAAACAAAATTCTTGGTATTAGAATAATTATGAAATAATTATTAAAATATTATTTAAAACATTATTAAAATATTATAATAATCCCTAAGGTCAAAGGGTGTATACAGAAACAAAGCTCATTTCCAACAGTGAAAACTGTTCTGAGATCTAAGAAAATACTGAGTTTGCATCTCCTGTTCTCCGACTATAAACTCCTATTTCTCCACTCTGTCAGGTTGAAAATAAAATCCAAATCTCTCCAAAAGAAATACGAAAAGAGCTGGGGCGAGAGAGATGGAACAGTGGGTAAGGTGGTTGCCTTGTACAAAGCCTACCTGGCTTTAATCTCCTGAGCCCACCAGGAGTGATTTCTGAGCAGAACCAGGAGTAACCCATGAGCACTGCCAGATCTGGCCCAAAAGCAAACAAACAAAAAGTTATTGGTCTACACTTGACAATGTTTGTCAAGTTAGGAACAGGGAACTTCAAACCACCCACTTGGCCACCCCAGAACAGGTGCCTGAGAGACAGGCCCATTCCAGCTCCGAAGCAGAGCCCATCACATCTAACACTTCAGATTCACGGTAAAACTCACTCAAATGAAATTTCTCATAACAAAAAACTAGAAAGTGAGCTTCTATATGATCCCTCAATACCACTTCTCGGAATATATCCCGGGGATGCAAAAAAGCACAGTAGAAATGACATCTGTACCTATATGTTCATTGCAGCACTGTTCACAAGAGCCAAAATCTGGAAACAACCCAAGTGCCCTAGAACAGATGGCTGGTTAAAAAAACTTTGGTACATCTACACAATGAAATACTATGCAGCTGTCAGGAGAGATGAAATCATGAACGTTACTTATAAATGGATAGACATGGAGAGTATCATGCTAGTGAAATGAGTCAGAGAGGAACAAACATAAAAGGACTGCACTAAAAAAAAAAAAAAAAAACACTAAAAAAATTAAAAAAAAAAAAAAAAAAGGACTGCACTTATTTGTGGAGTATAAAACAACATGAGGCTGACTCCTAAGGATAGTAGATACATGGGACAGATAGATTACTCCATAGCTGGAAGCCTGCCTCATGAGCAATGGGGAGAAAGCACCTGGAATAGAGAAGGGATCACTAAGAAAATGATGGCTTGAGGAAACAGTCGGGATGGGAGATGTGTGCTGAAAGTAGATAAAAGACCAAACATAACCTCTCAGTGTCTGTACTGCAAACCATAATGACCAAAATATACAGAGAGTTTGGTGAATATTTTCTGCCATGGAGACAGGGAAGGGTGAGGAAAGGGGGGGGTAGGGCGGGTATACTGGAGATATTGGTGGTGGGGAATGTGCACTGGTGGAGGGACGGGTATTTGATAATTGTGTGATTGTAACCCAAACACGGAAGCTTGTAACTATCTCACGGTGATTCAATAAAATGTCACTTGATAACTTGACATCCCGTTACTCACTGATTTGCTCGAGCAGGCGCCAGTAATGTCTCCATTCGGCCCTGTGGCGTGCTAGTGTAGCCCAATGACATCTGCTCATTCTAGGAACACAAAGAGCCTCAAACCGATCATTCAGGGTCTTGACAAAGAAGTCTGACCATCTTGTAGAGGAGCGGCCATGCAATCTTCTGACATCCCATGGAATCTACTCAGTAACAACTCTAATACAGTGGTCGTCTCAAAATCTCATTACGTGTCCAGCCCATCTGATTTTCGACACCTTGGCAAACAAGACAGCATCCCTGATTCATAATCATCAACAGGGGTCAGAACTCCATATTCTTTCTCTCACTTGAGTGAAATGTGGTACTCCAAGCATAGCTCTTTCGATTCCTCTTTGGGAGACCTGAATAGTGTTCTCAACCTGTTTTCGTAGGGCCCAGGTCTCTGAGGCGTATGTTAATGCAGAAAGAACAGTGGAATCGAAGAGATGTGCCTGGAGCCAGAGGTTCTTCATCCTCTTAGCTATTTCTTAGACACTCCTGAAAGCATTCTAAGCCACTCTCTTCCTCCTGAGCAACTCAGGTGCCAGGTCATTCGTCATGTTGACTTCTCGACCTAGGCATACATAACTGTTGCATTCGGAGATGTTCGTTCCGTTGAGAGTGAATGGAACATCACGAACAATACTGTTTCTCATAAACATTGTCTTTGTGAGATTCAGCTGTAGATTCACCTTTCCACACTCATGGTCCTAGTAGGCCAGCATTGTGCCGTTTGGCTAATGTTTGGTGTTATTAGAACGATGTCATCAGCAAAGCGGAGGTGGTGTAGTTGCCGACCATCTATCTTCACTCCCATTCCTTCCCATTCCAGTCGTCGCATGACATCCTTGAGGGTGGCACTGAAGAGTTTTGGTGAAATGGTATCACCCTGCCGAACCCCTCTCTTGACCTAGATGATCACTTCTTTGTAGAATGGTAAGATCCTGGTAGTGAATCCGTAATACAGCTCACGGAGGATCCTGATGTATTGGGCTTGAATGCCCTGATTGGCTAGGGCTTCAATGACCGCTTCTGTCTCAACAGAATCAAAGGCCTTCTTTAAATCAATGAACGTTAGACAGAGCAGCATCTTGAACTCCCGAGAAATCTCAATGAACTTGGTTATTGTGTGGATATGGTCGATCGTGCTGAATCCTTTTCAGAACCCGGCTTGCTCGCATGGTTGTCCTTCATCTAGTGTTCTGCCAATCTTATTCAGGATGACTCGAGTGAAAAGCTTGTAGACAACAGAAAACAGGCAGATTGGGCAATAGTTGCCAATGGCATAGATGTCTCCCTTCTTGTACAGTAGTATACAGTCCTGCTGGTTTTCCACTGGGATAGAACCTTGCGTTCAGACAGGTAGCGTGTGAAGAGCCACGCCAGTGTATTGATGAGTACTGATGGCAGGTTCTTCAGGTATTCGGGTCTGACCTTGTCTGAGCCAGGTGCTGTTTGCTTCTTTACTGATGAAATGGCGTGTCGAATTTCAGAAGGGAGAACATTGAGAATGACAATCCATCCGCAGAATTTGGTATGTGGGCAGGTGGACGTGGCTAACAAAGAGATCCGAGTAGAAGCCATGAAAAATATTCTCCATTGCCCTTCTGGAAGATGTGATAGATCCATCAGGACGTCGGAGGGCAGTCATCTTGGTCTTGTAGTTGGCAAAGAACAGACAGGCATTGCAAATACTTTTCCCAGCTTCTGCCGCATCTGCCAGCACTGCTGCTCTTCTCTCTTTGAGGTCCTTTATCGCTTCTCTACACTGCTTTGCGAGCTCGGACGTTCGCTTGTGGTTGCCTGAGGCTTGCACCAAGCCACGTTGGCAAATGAGTCCAAGAGTTTTCGAAGACAGGCGTCTTGTTGTGGGTATCGCTCTCTCGGCTCTCCTCGCACAACCATGGAGGTGCTGAACCAGTCAATCATATTCTTTGTCAAAGTTGTCAACGACAGCATCTTCCCATGTTGCTGCAATAGTGCCAAAGAGCTCCCAGTTGGTGGTCGTTCTGGGAGTACTTTTCTTAAACTTTGCAGCCCTTTCTCCCTGCTCCCTGAAGTAGAATTATGCACTAAGGAGACAGTGGTCCGATCCCATTTGGAATTTTGGGACAACAGGGACATCGGTCAGGAAAAACCATCAATTGAATATGATGTGGTCAATTTCATTGTGGAACCGGCCACCAGGAGACTCCCATGTCCAATGTTTAGATTCAGCCTTCCAGAACTGTGAGTTACCATGGATGGTCTTGGTTGACATGATGAACTCAGTCTCTCACCCTGTTCGTTCTATTCTAGGCCATGGGTCCCGATCTGGAGTTCTTCGACTAATCTTCTCAGTCTTATCTTGGCATTAAAATCACCGATAATGATCTTGTAGAAGGTGTGGTCTTCTTTATAGAACTTCTCCAGCTCCATGTAGAACTTCTCAATTTCTCCTTCATCATAACTGGAGGTTGGTGCATAGACAACGAAGATAGAAATTGCCAGCAGTGAGCCACATATATTCAAGTGTAATCATCCAATTCGGGTTGTTAAGCTTTCAAATGAATCAATGCTCATGGCCAAGTTCGTGTTGACAAGGACACCGACACCACCGATGCCTCTTTTATCGTATGTTCCGAGGAACAGTTCTTCTCCAGTGTCAAAAACGGCGTGATGTGATTGATGCCTTCTCATCTCAGTCAGACCAATGATGTCGTACTTGATCTTTTGCGCTTGTACCATCAGACCCTCAATGGATGCATCTGATGCCAGCATACGTGCATTAAAAATACAGATAGTCATTTTCATCCTTCTCCGTTTTGGCAGCTTAATTCAGCCTTGAGATTTTATCAGCCTCTCCTTCCTCATCCTTCTTAATGCTGCCGTATTGGTGGCTCTTTCAGGGTCAGGGGAATGAGACCCATTGTATTTACTGGTTTTGGCATATCGAATACACCACGGATAGCTTGCCAGGCTCTGCCATGCGGGCAGGATATTCTCGGTAGCTTGTCAGGCTCGCCAAGAGGGATAGAAGCTTTTAGGACAGCCTCTAATTGCCCTTGCAGATATTCCTATGGTTCAAACCATATTTGAACCCCATCAAATATGGTACGGTAATCTTGGAAGATGGGTATTAAATGTCCGGAAAGCATCCTGGAGCATGGTGGCGGCTGGGTAATTGAGGTAGTATTTTTTTTTAAATAAAATTTAAAAAAAAAGAAAGAAAGAAATCTTTCATAACAGAAATTAGCTGTGCTCTGAACCTATGAATCCTACATTGTATACAACCTATGTATCCAGAGAGAAGAGCTGATTATGTTTGAGAGTTTTGATTGGAGGGAGAAAGAGGACAATCACCAACCTCTTCCACAAGATGATCATCAGGGTCATATTCTTTCAGATTAATAATTGTCACTGGCAAGTCTAGGGAAGTAACCTCTTCAGCAAGAACTGTTGCAAATCCCTGATTGGAAAAAAAAAAAATCAAGTAAAATTTTCAATAAATAAGCCAAATGTAGTCTTTGTTTTTCTCTGCTGGCAAAGGAACAAGGTTTCTTATCAAAACCTTTTCTAATAAATGACATTTATCATCCTAAGCACAAAAAAAGCACTGTTCACTTTGGCCATTTTTCTCAAGCATCGTCATAAAGATTATTTACTCCAAGATTTTACCTGTGGGGTAAATGTGAATTAGCTTTATATTCCCGCTTAACCCCCAACAACAATAACAAAATCTAAATGTACCTTAAAAAAAGAGGAAAACTCTCCTCAATCATATGCTCATCTAATCTTTGATAAAGGTGCAAGTAATGTGAAGTGGAGTAAGGAAAGCCTCTTTAATAAATTGTGTTGGCATCACTGGACGGCTACATGCAAAAAAATAGGCTCAGAACTCTGCCTAACACCATGTACAAAAGTAAGATCAAAATGGATTAAAGACCTCAACATCAGACCAGAAACCATAAGGTACATTGAAGATAAAGTTGGCAAAACTCTCCATGACATTGAAGCTAATGGTATCTTCAAAGATGCCACGCCACTGGCCGAGCAAGTGAAAACAGAGATAGATAAATGGGACTATCTTAAACTAAGAAGCTTCTGCACCTCCAAAGAAACAGTGACCAAAATACAAAGACAGTCTACAGAATGGGAAAGGATATTCACCGAATACACATCTGACAAGGGGTTGATATCCAGGATATACAAAATACTGGTTAAACTCCACAAGAAGAAAACATCCAACCCCATCCAAAAATGGGGCAATGAAATGAACAGAAACTTTCTCAAAGAAGAAATCCGAATGGCAAAAAAGCACATGAGAAAATGCTCTACATCATTAATCATCAGGGAGATGCAGATCAAAACCACAATGAGATACCATCTCACACCTCAGAGACTGGCCCATATTCAAAAGAACAAAAGCAACCGATGCTGGCGTGGATGTGGCAAGAAAGGTACACTCCTTCACTGTTGCTGGGAATGTCCACTGGTTCAGCCCTTCTGGAAAACAGTATGGACGATTCTCAAAAAATTAGAAATTGAGCTCCCATTTGACCCAGCAATACCACTCCTGGGAATATATCCCAGAGAGGCAAAAATGGATAGTCGAAGTGACATCTGCACTTGTTTGTTCATTGCAGCACTCTTTACAATAGCCAGAAACTGGAAGAAACCTGAATGCCCAAGAACAGATGACTGGTTAAAGAAACTTTGGTACATCTACACAATGGAGTACTATGTAGCTGTTAGAAAAGATGAAGTCATGAAATTTACATACAAGTGGTACAATATGGAAAGTATCATGCTAAGCGAAATGAGTCAGAAAGAGAGGGATAGACATAGAAAGATTGCATTCATCTGGGGGATATAAAGTAACAAAGTATGAGATTAATACCCAAGAATAGCTGAGATCAGCACCAGGAGGATTACTCCATAACTTAGAGGCCAGCCGGGTATCCTAGAGGAAAGGGCTGTTCAGATAGAGAAGGGAGCACCAAATAAAGGATGTTTGGAGGATCCTCCCAGGAGGGGAGATGCATGTCGAAAGTAGACTATGGACTGAACATGTTTGCCACTCAATGCCTCTTTTGCAGACCACAACACCCAAAAGGAGAGAGAGAACACAGGGGATTGCCCTGCCACAGAGACAGGGGGGATGGGGGGATGGGGGTGGGAGGGATATTATCCATGGTGGTGGAAAATGGGCACTGGTGGAGGGATGGGTATCTGATCATTGTATAATTGAAACCAAAGCACAAAAAATTGTAAATCTACAACTTTAAAAAAAATAAAATAAAATAAAGGGGAAAAAAAAAAAAAGTATATGTTGTGACAAATCTATTGGCTATGAAATGTGCGGGCTTTGCTGTAACAGCCAGTGAAGGCCTATATAAGATCCCCTCTGAAGAAGTTCTGGGTCTTGCCTGACCGCTTGGGCTTGACCCTGGCTAGCCAGCTCAATAAACTACCTGCTTGCTGATTGCAAAAAAAAAAAAAAAAAAAAAAGAGGAAAAGGCGAAGAGAATGGGAAACTTGAGCAACACTAGCACTTTTTCTACAGACCGGAAGTGAACAGGAACAGCTGACAGGAGAAAGCACCAGGAAGAGCCTATATTCCTGAGAGGACTCCAGAGGGATCTGGACACTGGATGTCATTATAGCAGATACAGGGGGTCTAGTGGAACAGAGACCAGCCAACTGCTGACAGTCTACCTGAATGGCACCTGTCCGCACTCCCGACAAAATGAACCAAATGCCAGGTGCCAGCACCCCAGGAAAAAACCTTTACAGTTTTGGATTTTTTAGTTTTGTTTTTTGCTTAGTTGATCCTGCTAAGTACCTATTCAGTGTGTATTTACGCCAGCCTCAATCTTGCACAGTATTAGAGTGGGCAAGACACACTGTTCCTGTCCACAAAGACAGCAAGCGAATGAACAGAGAAATGAAAAAATACAGTCTTATATATAATGCTAGAAAAATCAGGATAAGGTAGAGTACTAAAGAAAACTGTTAGCAGAGAAGAATGGTTCATTTCCATAAGGAGGGCAGGAATGGGTGTAGATAATAAAAACAAAAATCTGGTTATCATCTCCAATTCCTGGCAGAGAACTCCTAAAACCCATGGAACTTAACATCTTCACTGTGTCAACCAAATAACTCCTGGGGGGGGGGGGGGGGGGGGAGGGGTCACTCAGGATAGTGGCTGGTTACCAGAAAACCTACCTCAGAACTTTGATACCCTTTCACCAGTGGGCTGAAAAAGTTCATTAAGCTACAGTGTGAAACCTACATGTAGAAAATAATAAGATAAATGGCCAGGCATGTGGTGATGCAATCCCTGGAGTACAGCAATCCCTAACACCGCCCCCAAAAATAAAGAACTAAAGATAAATGGTGGGGTTGGTAAACATTTAATACCCATCTTCCAAGATTACCGCACCATATTTGACGGGGTTCAAATATGGTTTGAACCATAGGAATATCTGCAAGGGTAATTCGATATTACAGTGGTGAGAAGGTGGCACGGCCAGGGAGGGCAAGGAAGCAACACCCCTCCCTGACGCTGAACTACGCATCCCTTCCCTTGGGCTGTTTGGAGTTGAATATTCTATGAAACACTGACAAGCAGTGGCCAGAAAGAGAGTACAGCCAAGCAAGGCATGTCACATGCAGTAATCCCAGTTCAGATCCTGCCACTGCATCTGGTTCCTGAACCCCAACACAAGTGATCCTTGAATACAGAGCCAGTAGTAAGGTCTGAGCGCTGCCAGGTGTGGCCCAAACACACACAAACACACATACACACACACACACACACACACACACACACAAATACAAACTTCTAAATAAAAGAAGAAAATATAAGTAAAGCCATTTTCTGAGTTCTGTGACTTACCCTGGAGAATTCTTGAATCTAAGAAGGGGATTGTGGGAACTTATGGTTGGTCAGTGAAAAGTATGGGTGGCCTGTGGGAATCGGGAACTGGGACTGGTACCTAACATAGGGACAGTTGTGCAGACTGCATCCTGAACCCCAGGGTTTTGATAGCTAACTCTGGAGAGTCAGTGTGAGAATTAAAGAACTGGTGTCAGAAATACTCCAACGGACTCCGAAGATAAAGGGGGATGGAGCTCTGTGACAGAGCACGCACATGAGGGAGGCATAGGGACAATCCCTGGCTGGCAGGCACACACACATGCACACAGACAAACACAAACACACACATACACGCACACTGACAAACACACACACATACACACACACACACACACACACACACACACACACACACTTAAGTCAAACCTGAAGGAAATGAAAGCATAAGGCAGAAGGATCCACCAGGAGACGCGTTGAGTCAGAACACTCAAAACAAGGAGTAGCAGACTTGGCCAAGAGCAAGGTTAAAGGAATGGGCCAAGGCCATGAGGAAAGGGGCCTCTGCCACGAAAGAAGCTACCCTGGGTGGGGATGCACCCCTAGTCACTGCAGGGCTCTATTCCGAGGGAAAAAGGACCTCCCTGGAGTTCTCCAAGTCCCAGGAGTTCCTAAAGTCGAGGAGCAGGTGAGAGAGCTGAGTCAGGGACCCTGGTCAGATACCACCGTGAGCGGCTAAGCTGAGAGGAGGGTGGCTGGGACCAGGAACCAGGACGATTCTGACAGGACCACAAGACTACATATGAGTTTGACAGGCTGCATTGGCATTCTCAGAAAAAGGAACAAACAACTTTTTCTCACCTGCATGCAGAATTTATTTTTAATTCCATATATGAGATATCTTGGAAGTCTGTTTTTGACGGGATGGGGAGTCCGGTGGTGCCTAGGGATCACTCTTGGTGGGACTTGGGGGACCATATGTGGTGCCGGGATGGACTCCAGATCAGTTGTGGGCAAGGAAAAGGCCCCTAGACATTGTGCCATCTCTCTGGCCCCCTTCTTTAATGTGCTGAGGTCACCTGGTTACAACAGTGCTGCCATTTATGCTTACAGAGTAAAGGGACTGCATGTCTACCACCACCAAGTGCCAACACCTGGGAACACAAGTGCCAGTACCAGACCCTCACATCACTTCGAGTTCGTCTCTTCCTTCCCCCTACCCCAATCAAAGATTTCTGCTGCCACAGTTCAGAGTAGAAACTTAAGTCTAGAATTTATCTGCTACTCCTGGGGATCAGCAAACTAAGACCCACAAGCCAAACCCAGCCCTCTGTGCCCATTCGCGTCCACATTCTTCTGATCAACTGTTTCTACCCTACAACAGCAGAAGTAAAGAAAAGCGACATAACCTAAAAATCTAAAGACACAGAGGCTAAAGCAGAGCAGGTAGGGTGTTTGCCTTGCACACAGCTGACCTGGGTTTGACTCCTAGCATCCCATATGGTTCCCCGAGCACCGCCAGGGGTAATTCCTGAGTGCACAGCCAGGAGTAACCCCTTTTGCATCACCCGGTGTGACACAAAAAGAAAAAAAAAATTAAAACACTTGACAAATTCTATCAAATCAAATTTAAATTCCACAAATAGTAAGATCCCTAAGAATAAAGCGAATGTAAACAAAGACAGGGTCTCAGGGACTGTGTGCCGGGACATTCCCAGAGATCAAGGCAATGGAGGGAAATCTGAGGATGACAACGCCTCCGCAAAGTTGCGGGGGAATCTACAGGACCCAGAAAGTTCAGCAAAGAGCATATGTTGAGAAGCAGGAGCCGGAGGATTAAATAACACCATGGAAGTACTTGGGAGCGGGCTCGGGCACGCAAGACTAACTGGAGTGGTTCAAGAAAAACCAGAAGAACCAGAGAGAGCACGCAGGAACAACACTGTCAGGGAGTTGAATATTTAAAGGCCAAAAACAGGGCAGCAACCAGAAGCTATGAGGTGAGCAAGTCGCCCAGCACGTCCTGACCTTCCCTGTGCAGAGCACCCGGAGCGAATCCAAGTCAGAGAAAAGTGGGCTGTGCTCCGCAGCCCCGGAGAAAACCACCCCAGCCCCGCCTCATTCTGTCCTGAATCGAAACGGAGAGCCAAGGCTCACCAAGCAGAAAAGAAAAATGCCAGAACTGGGAAAGCAGGTACATCAAAGAGCAGCAAAAATTTGGGAAGATACTTTCTTAAATTATAAACAAACATTAACAGAGAAAAACCAAAATGGAACTTTTGCAATTAAAAACATATTGCAAATTCAAAAACAAGGTTGAGGGGCTGGTGCGATAGTACAGTGAGTAGGGCGTTTGCCTGGCATGCGGTCAACCGGAGTTCAATTCCCAGAATCCCATATGGTTCCCCAAGCACCGCCAGGATTAATTTCTCAGTGCAAGCCAAGAGTAATCCCTGGGCATCGCTGGGTGTGACTCAAAAAGCAAAAGAAAAAAAAAAAAGGTTGAGAATTGAAACTCAAGAACACAGAAAGTTACCCCCCCCCAAAAAATAAATTGAGAGCAATATTTGAGATACAAAAATATCCACAAATACCAACATCTAAAACTAATAGGAGTTTCAGAAAGGACAAAAAAATAGAAGGGGAAAAAGTACCCCAAAAATACTGACATAACTAATGCACATAAACCCTCAAAACAAAGAAAAGCCCAAGAGTGGCACATGGCTAAAAAATCATTCAACTTGGACAACATCTCACAAAGTTTCTACATAAAAGGCACCCCCTCCAAAAAAAAAAAAAATGCTTACAGAAACAAACAAACAAACAAAAAAAAAAAACAAGAAAGTCACCTGAGGGAACTAGCCTTCTCATCATCACCACCACTAGAAGACAATGAAGGTCTCTGAAGTTGCAGTAGAGATCTCTAAAGTTCTGGAAACAACCCAAGTGCCCCAAAACAGATGACTTGTTAAAAAAAAAAAAAAAACTATGGTACATCTACACAATGGAACACTATGCAGCTGTTAGGAAAAATGAAGTCATGAAATTCACTTATAAATGGATGGACATGGAGAGTATCATGCTAAGTGAAATGAGACAGAAAGAAAGGGACAAACACTATGACAATGATGGTTGGAAGCGATCTCTCTGGATGGGAGCTGTGTGCTGAAAGTTGATAAAGGACCAAACGTAATGGCTTCTCAATACCTGTTACTGCAAACCATAGCGCCCAAAAGGAGGGAGAGAGGGAGGGAGAGAGAGAGAGAAAGAGAGAGAAGAAAAGCACCTGCCATAGGGGCAGGCTGGGAAGGTGGGTTAGGGGGAGTGACAGGAGGAAACTGAGGATACTGGTGTTGGGAAGTGTACACTGGTGGGGAGATGAGTGCTGGAACACTGTATGACTGAAACCCAATCATGAACAGCTTGGGAACTGTGGATCTCACAGTAATTCAACTAAAAAAAAAAACAAGATCTTCAAAGTTGCAAGGAAAAAAATTGCAGAAGTGGAGGGGCCGGGGGCAATCGCCAGACCAGCAGTGTTCAGGGGGCCACGCCAATGGTGCTCAGCGAATCACAGGCAACATCAGAATTCAAACCAAGGTTGTGACTGCAGTCATATGCTACATGAGTGCCTTAATTGTTGTACTATCTCTCCAGCCCCAAGAATAATTCATATGGGGGCCATTCCTGGCAGAGCTGTGGAAGGGGATAGGGAGATGGGAGGCACACAGTGATGGATAACAACCCAAGTATGTTGAGGCCAAAATATGTTGAGAAACATCCATAATCCCAGAGAAATATTATAGCTTACAGTTCTATACCCAATCAAGTAATGAATCAAATGTGAAAACAGAACCAAGAATTTCAGATGGCATACTTCCAAAAAGGAGGGCCATCTATCTGCTCTGAGTAACAATTTTTCTGTCTGTTAGTTTTTGGGCCACACTTGGCGATGGTCAGGGATTACTCCTGGCTTAGTGCTCAGGAATCACTCCTGGTGATGCTCAGGGAATCATATGTGGTAGCAGGGATCATAGAACCTGGGTCGGTCGTGTGGAAGGCAAGTGTCCTACTCACTATGCTGGCCCACAATTGTAAGCCACTGAGACCTGAGGAATGTTTGTGGTAGCTAACAAAAGGTGTGGAAGACTTTTTTTTTTTTTTTTTTTTTTGCTTTTTGGGTCGAACCTAACAATGCACAGGAGTTACTTCTGGCTCTGCACCCCCCTGGCAGTGCTCAGGGAACCATATGGGAAGCTGGGAATCGAACCCAGGTCGGCCGCATGCAAGGCCTTACCTGCTGTGCTACTGCTCCAGCCCCAGGTGTGGAAAACTTTTACATCATGTGGACAAATGAAGGAACTCTCACACACAGGTTAAAAACACGCCAGAGGGGCGGAAACAAAAAAGTACAGTGGGTAAGGCACTTGCTTTGCCCACAGCCAAATCAGGTTCAAACCCTGAACAACAGCAGGTGTGATCCCTGAGTGCACAACCAGGTATAAGCCCAAAGCATTGCCAGATATGGCCCCAACAAATAAAATAAACACACAACAGAGGGACCTGAGAATAGCACAAGATGGAAAGAATCTGCCTTGCACACAATCAGCCCTAGTTTGATCCCCAATCGCACATACTGGCCCCCAAGCACAGGGTCAGAAGTAAGCCCTGAACACAGTCAGCTGTGGCCCCCAAAAAAACAAAACAATCCATTGAAAAAACACCAGAGGAAGTAAAAATAGAAAAGCATTTTTAATAAAATAAAAGTACTTTTCATTAAGAAACTTCTGCACGCCTGGATTTATTACCATATTCAAGTATCAATTTGATTTTCTAAAAATTCTTAAAACTTGAAGACACTCTAAATGAGGTATCTGATTATGAGAAACATAAAAGGACTTTATTTTGGCTGCTCATATTACTTTAACTTTCTTCCAGTTCCTACCTCTACTGCTCAAGGGTGAACTATTTAAAAGCAAGTTAATTGGTAATAGCATAATGAACAACTGTTACTGTAAATAATACTAATAACTTGACATGCTCTACAGTATTGAAACCTTACAAAATATTATTCTAACAAATATCCACAAGAGGGCAGTGGAATGCTTTTTAAGCACTATACAACTATAATAGCCCTTAAATTTTCATTTTTATGTTAGTCTTGTATCTATTCCTAGAAAGCCCTAAATAGCTACAACTTCTGTAACATAAAATCAGGCCGCATATAGAAAAAACAGATAAAAAGCCAGATATCTGTAGTACATTTCTATTTTAAATAGCACTCAATTTTGAAATTGTGAAAACTAGGGCCCATATGGGCTGGAGCGATAGCACAGTGGTAGGGCGTTTGCCTTGCACGCAGCCAACATGGCCGACCCAAGTTCAATTCCTCCGCCCCTCTCGGAGAGCCCGGCAAGATACTCTCGGTAGAGAGTATCTCGTCCGCGCGGCAAAGCCTGGCAAGCTCCCTGTGACGTATTCAATATGCCAAACACAGTAACAACAAAAGTCTCCAATAGAGACGTTATTGGGCCCGCTCGAGCAAATCAATGAACAATGGGAGGACAGTGACAGTGACAGGGCCCATACTAGATGCTACTGGTCCCATTCGCTATTCACCGTCCTTTATCCTGTATATACAAGTCTCAATAGCAGACTGAATTCTCTCCTTTCTACTGAAATACAAAAGACTACTCAGGATGGGACCACCAGTTGGCTGGAATTAAACACAGTAAAAAATACACCCATCGTGCCAGACAGAAAAAAAAAAATGTATAATGGAAAAAGGGGAGTAAAGACTCGGAAGATTAGAAAATAAATTCACTTCTAGTCTAAAGGATGTTTTCTTAAAAGATCAGGAAACACAAAAAGGAAAAAAAATCATATAAAATTCTTACCTTTGCTGTTCCAGTCTGAGAACCATAAAAAATCTTTACTCTGGACACAAAAACTTCCTTCTTTGGAACAGAGACATAACCATTCGTCACCAAATTCCCAGTTATTTTTGAAATGCTTTTGTCCTGTGAGTTCTTGTCCTTGAAAATAAAAGACTGCACAGAATCTATCAAGTTTGATTATTTTCCTAACTTCCATAGAGATAAAAACTGGCATACATTCTTTGGAGCTATAGTACAGTGGGTAGGGCTTTTGCCTTGCACACGACCAACCCAGGGTTCGATTCCTCCGTCCCTCTCAAAGAGCCTGGCAAGCTACCAAGAGTATCCTGCCCACCAGGGCAGAGCCTGGCAAGCTATGGGTGGAGTATTTGATATGTCAAAAACAGTAACAACAAGTCTCACAATGGAGACATTACTGGTGCCCGCTGGAGCAAATTGATGAACAATAGGATGACGGTGCTACAGTGCTACACCATTTCTAGTTTTACTCAAACAATAACTCCTTGATATATGTTTTATAAAGGGAGAACACACATTTCCAAAGACCATAATGATTCCCATTTCCTCCAAGATAAGACTATATTTGAAGTATATTCCATAATGTGTTTATTAAATTAACAGTCAAAAGTAATTAGGATGGGGAGGTTGGGCCATACCCAGTTGTGCTCAGAGTTCACTCCCGGTTCTGTGCTCAGGGATCACTCCTAGCGATAAGAGGGGGACCATATGCAGTCCAGGGATTGATCCAAGTCAGACACATGCAGTTCAGTGGGGGAAAAGAATACTAATCCTTCAAGATGCAAAACATAAGCTTTTTCACAAAAATTTTTCATTAGAAAATCTTCCTGTATCTAAAACTGAGACATACACAGACATAAAAGAAAGGCAAAGAACTTAGTCTATGACAACTTAGTCTCTGAAAACTAGGGGAGGGGGATAATGTTAGGCCTTTTAAAACCTGTCTAGCTGGGGCTGGAGCAATGGCACAGCAGGTAAGGCGTCTGCCTTGCACACGGCAGACCTGGGTTCCCAGCTTCCCATATGGTACCCTGAGCACGGCCTGGAGTAATTCCTAAGCACAGAGCCAGAAGCGACCCCTGTGTATCGCTGGGTGTGACCCAAAAAGCAAAAAAAAAAAAAAAAAAAAAAACTGTTTGGCCGTGGAGCAGACACAAAAGTAATTTGAAAATGTCTAAATATATCCCTATAAAATATAAATAATTTACCTGCTTCCTGATGACAATCTGAAAACAAATCCAAAGGCTAATGCCAAAGGCAAAGCCCAAATATATGTAAAATCTGTTTATCCACAATGAGAGCAAAGGTGAGAAGTCCCAAGCATTCAAAGGATCTAAATTGAAAATACAGATAACTTCGTTTAAAGCTTCATATACAAAGAAATGCCTACTCAGAAATACATTTTTTAAACGTTAGCTCTAATAAAAATAAGACACTGTGTGTGGCAATGTGGTAAAATTTATATACTATTATAAACTCAAAAATATATAGAAGCAAAAATCTGTAACCTTTACTTGGCTATAGCAATTGGAAGCGAAAGATAAAATAAAAACATTACGTAGAATCATAAGTCAATAGTGTTTTGTCATGCCGGCACCCTAAGCTTTAAAAATTAAAGCATTCCTAATGATGCATGGCAAATGGGTTCTCAAACAGTTGATCCCACGCTTCAAGTTTTAATGAAAGACAGGGCTGAGCCTGACTTGAAATGTTCAGTCTGGGAGCAATTTCGAAAGACTGAAAATAAAGTTTACAGGTCCTCCAGGATGAAAAGTATCCAAAGTAATCGATACACGTGGGTAACTGACGGCAGGAAAGGGAGGGGAGGGAGCGCAGTTAACTCTGCCTTTAGCTTCCACTTAGAGGCATGCTTTGATTCTAAAAATCATTCCTAGCATCAAAGAGCCTGATCGAAATTGGAGAACAATTCTCCCTCGCCTCCAGGGTCGTGTCCACACTGAAAGGAACCAGGTCCGTGTTCACCTAGAGTCACAAGGAAAAAACCAAAACACAAAAATCGGTTTCCTCCCCTGCAGCCCCAGCAACCTTGCCCGCGGCGGGAAAAAAAAAAGAGGGGGTCCTTACCCATTCTCCTACAAAACTGGGCCCTGAGACGGAGAGGAGAGGAAAACGGCCGAACTGAGAGACCAGATGGCAGATGTGGCTGCCAGGACCCCTCCGAATCTAGCCCGCAGCATCGGCTCAGCAACAGCAGCACCTAGAGCTGGGGGCAGCCATGACACTTGCAGGCCCGTCCGGATTGGCTAAGCGCCGGGGAAGGGGCGGGTCCAAGTGAAGCAACGCCCGGAGCGCTGGGATGGGAGCGGGCGACTCTGCGGTCCTCTGGCAAAAAACTGCGGGGTGGACGAGAGTTTTTAAGCAACCAAATGCAAGGTGTTGGGCCGATTGAATCTCAGTTCAAACTCATTCACTTTGAGTGGTCTTGAAGGGCTTTATTTCGTTTGGGAGCCAAACCCGGAGATGCTCATTGATCGAGTCGGCCGGGTCTGCCGCGTACAAGGCCATCTCCCTCTATCTCTCCGGCCCCAAATACACTCGTTTTAAGAAGGTATTACTTAGGGCAGATGCAATTATTAAGTGTTCGATATTAAGATCGCATATTTTAGCAGTGTAGACGCATCCACAGCGGAAACCTTAGGGGTATTTGCTTTAAGATATTCAAACACGAAGATGTTTAAAGAAATGAAGGAGGTCGGGTGAAACAACCGGCCGAATTACGGAGCACACTGCACGTTAAACCTCAACAGTCCAAAGAAACCGGCATAGGCGTGGCCTCCGGCTCGGACGCGCTGGCGCAGTGTCCCCCCCACCCCCGGTCAGCGGACGCAACTCCGCCAGCCAATCAGAGCTCCTTTGGCGCTAGACGCCAGTGAATAACGTCAGGACTCACGCCCGTCTCCCCCGGGCGCGGAAGGATGCTGTAAAGTGCGCACGCGTCGTTGCTCCCTCGTCCTCGCCCTGTTTCCGCCACACCTGACGCCTGCGCAGTGAGTCGGCGAGGGGTCCACCCGCGGGGCGGTGGCAGTTGGCTCCGCCGCGCACTGTGCGGGTGTTACACGGCCGCGCGGCGCGGGGCGTTACAGGACGCGGGCACCGTCGGGCCCGCGCGACGTGGGGGCTGCCGAGGTCACCGGGCCGGGGTCCGTGAGCAGCCGCGATGTCCATCTTCACGCCCACCAACCAGATCCGCCTGACCAATGTGGCCGTGGTCCGCATGAAGCGCGGGGGGAAGCGCTTCGAGATCGCCTGCTACAAAAACAAGGTCGTCGGGTGGCGGAGCGGCGTGTGAGTGACCCTTCCCCCTCGGGGCCTGCCGGGCGCTGGCCCTGGGCAGCTACGGAGCGGGCGAGGCGGGCTTGTCACGGAGGGAACTGGGAACCTGGCTGGCGCTTGCCCTTCCCGAGTTTGAAACCCAGGGTTGCGGGCGGTTTTATTCTGTTTGCTTTGCTTCGCTGGGTTTGGGCTATTGAGGACGGGGGAGTCACAGTTGTCGCGGAATCGAGACGCCCCCGCGATTGTGTTGCTGGGGCCAGAATAATGGGCTTCCAAATGCGTGCCCGGCTGTTGCGGCCCCGCTGGCCCTGCGCTGTCCCGAGCGCCCGGTGCCCTCACTACCGCCATCTAGTGCCGCCCAGCCCCGCGGCACTTCCCGCTGCCTGCCGGCTCCGCCCGGGACATTTTTTTTATCCATTGAGTAAATGCGATGACGTAGGTGGCCCTGAGCTTTGAAATGTTCCTGCCTCGCCGAGTTGTCAGCTGGTATTTACATGTGCATGGATTTCCAAGTTTCCAGTGTGTTCACTTAGGTCTTTCTCTCTTACCCTCACAAGGGAAAAAGACCTCGATGAAGTTCTGCAGACCCACTCAGTGTTTGTAAATGTTTCTAAAGGTCAGGTTGCAAAGAAGGAAGATCTCGTCAGTGCATTTGGAACAGATGACCAGACTGAAATCTGTAAGCAGGTGGGTTTAGAGCTGCACCATAACAGCACTACTGACCCTAATATTTCATCTGTTAGACTAAGTATTTATAAGCTTGATAAACCTTAAAGAATGGGGTTTTGGAGCACAGTGAGTAGGGCGTTTGCCTTGTACGCAGCCTACTCGGGTTCGATTCCTCTGTCCCTCTCAGAGAGCCCAGCAAGCTACTGAGGGTATCCGGCCCCGTGGCATAGCCTGGAAAGCTCCCCGTGGAGTATTCGATATGCCAAAAACAGTAACAAGTCTCACAATGGAGACATTACTGGTACCCGCTCGAGCAAATCAGTGAACAGCGGGAGGACAGTGCTACAGTGAATGCTTAACTATGGAAGAATGTGAGCGTACAACTCACTTTAATAATTCAGGTCATGACTTTTTCCCTTTGTTTAGCCCAAGTCTCTAGAAATTGAATTTTGTTATTAGTTGCCTCTTTTTTTCATTTGTGTATTTTAAGTATTTACCTCATTTAGACCATTAAAATTGCCTTTCCCCTTTCTATATCCAATCTCTTAAATAAGCAAGACTTTTCAAGCCCAAGGTAACCAAGTATATCCTTTAGGATATACTTAAGAGTATATCCTAAAGGATCTACTTGAGCCTTAGCTAAAATCATTGCTTATTTATCTGATAGCTAGAGAAGAATTTAACTTTTTTTAGATGTTTTAAAATTTTTTGAATTTTCAAATTTTTTAAATTTAAAAAAATTTTAAATTTTTTTGAATTTAATTCAAACATTGGTTTACAAGACTAAACACCTTTTGCTTCACACCCAGCGATGCTCAGGGGTTATTCAGGAATTACTCCTGGCAGTGCTGGGGAGACCATATGGGATGAGGGGATCGAACCTGGGTCAGCCTCGTGCATGGTAAATGCCCTACCGCTGTACTATCACTCCAGCCCAAGAATAAACACTTTTTAGGCTACAATGTTAAAAAACTACACACACACACCCTCCGCCAAAGTGCTAATCTCCCTCCACCACTTTCCAGCAGACCCCTTTATCTTGTCAGCCCACTCCACACCCTTTTGGTAACCTAATTTTATGTTTGCAGTGTATGGGTTTCCGTGTACACTGCCTATTCCCTTGGTTTATGTCTCATATATCACGTTGAGATCACTGATATTTGTACTTTGCCCTCTGATTCATGTTATTCAGCATAACGTGCACCATGGCCTTCCATTTCCTTTGTATGGCAAAGAGCATGTTATATCAGAGGGCAAAAGTTCATCTTTTCTATTAGCTAAGGAGTAAGAAATTTAATTTTCTCCCCAGTTAATGAATATGGTAGGCAGCAAATAGTGTGTAATTAAAAACAATGCTTTCTTAAATGTGCTCTTTTTCTCCTTTAGATTTTGACTAAAGGTGAAGTTCAAGTATCAGATAAAGAAAGACACACCCAGCTGGAGCAGATGTTCAGAGACATTGCAACTATTGTGGCTGACAAATGTGTAAATCCTGAAACCAAGAGGCCCTACACTGTAATCCTTATCGAGAGAGCGATGAAGGACATCCACTACTCAGTCAAAACCAACAAGAGCACAAAACAGCAGGTGAGCAGTTTTTAACAAGCTCCAATGAAAATCAGCATTCTCTGAAAAAAAAAAATCATCAAATGGTTATCATTTAAAGACATTATTAAAAGATAAAAACTTGGGGCTGGAGCATTAGCACAGCAGATAGGGCATTTGCCTTGCATGCGACTGACCCAAATTCGATTCCCAGCATCCTATATGCCCCCCCAAGCATCACCGGGTGTGACCCAAAAAGCAAAAATAAATAAATAAATAAAAAGATAAAAACTTGTATTTTTACAGTGATTTTTACTTTGCTTTTTAGATCATAAAAAGATTTCTTTAGATTATAAAAAAGTGTTCATACTCTAAAAGCCAACTTTTTAATATGTTTGCTTTGGTATATTCAAAAACTTATGCAGTCTTCCCTGCTACATGAATTGAGGATGTTTTCATTACCACAGGAAAAAATCTTGCACCCATTATTAGCAGGTGATCCTTGTCCTCCCTCCTCCACACAGCCACAAACTTACTTTATCACCTTCATGGACTTAATTTATGAGCAGTTCATGTAAATGGATACAGTACAGTAAGTTTTCTTTAAAGGTTGGATCCTATTGTATCATGTCTCAGTATGTCATTTCTTTTTTATGACTATTCGGTATAATATGAAAATAACACATTTGGTTTATTTTCAGTCTTGGGTTCTTTACTCTTTAACATTGCAGGGGTCGGTGCCACTGTGCTTGGAGGCTGTTCCTGTCTCCGTGTTCAGAAGTGACCCCTGTTTCACTCGGGGAACTGTATTTGGTGTCAGGCATCAGTCCATGGTCAGTCATGTGCAAGACTGACTTCCTGTATATACTATTACACTTTTTTTTTCTTTTTGGGTCACACCAGGCGATACACAGGGGTTATTCCTGGTGGTGCTCAGGAGACTATATAGGACCTGGGAATCAAACCCGGGACTTTTTAAAAATAAAGAATAATGCTGCTGTGAAATTTAATTTTTTCCTTTAGACTTGTTTTTATTTCTTTGTCTCCAGGAATGAAATTACTATATAGTAACTATGTTTAATGTATAATTATTGTTTATTTAATTGGGGTTTCACTTGGTTTAATTTGCATTTCTTTATTGAGTGGTGATATATTTTCATGTGCTTCATAATTTTTTTTGAGAAGTCTATAGCCTTTAACCAAATTCTTTTTTTTTTTTCCTTTTGGGTCACACCCAGCGACGCCCAGGGGTTACTCCTGGCTCTCCACTCAGGAATTACTCCTGGCGGTGCTCAGGGGACCATATGTGATACTGGGATTCAAAACCCAGGTCGGCCGCGTGCAAGGCAAACACCTTACCCACGGTGCTATCGCTCCAGCCCCAGACCAAATTCTTTTTGTTTTCTTTTTTTTTTTATTTTATAATCATTTTTATAATTTCATAATCAAACAACTCTGCAATTCAAGAGGAGGGATAGGAAATTATAGAACTGAGAACCACAGGAAGAGCACAGGGACTAGAGGACACTCGAGGGGGGACAGGGCACTCTCCTGAGCTGTAGAAGGAAGGAACAGCCTGGTAGTTAAGGGAGTCCGAGACTTCAGATATATCCACAGTCAGAATCCGTTGCCTTCCTGCTGGTGCTGCCATTCCTGGTCTCATAGCTGTTCATGGCTTGCACAGTATTCCTGCCCTCCTTCACTTTACCCAACACCACATGCCTGCTGCCCCCCCAAGTCTTGACACTACAGATGAAAAACTGGGAATCGTTGGTGTGGGATCCAGCATTTGCCATGGACAAGATGCCAGGATCTCTATTCTTCGGGATGAAGTTCGCATCACCAAACTTTACTCCATAGATAATTCAGAGTGAAGTCCCCACCCTGCACCGAAATCCTGGGAAAATCCTGTAGAAGCAGGAAACTTTGTAACCAAATCCTTTCTCAGAACAAGACAGTGTTCTGCCTTCTTTGGGGCTTCCACTGCAACTAGCTCAAAGGAGATGGCTGAGGCTCACCATTGACTGGTTTGCTTGACCATGGTTGCGGAAGGAACCAGGCAGTGATGGTGTCTGCAAGGCCTGGTTGTTTTTTAATTTTTTATTTAGGTTTGGGGCCACACCCAGCAGTGCTTAGGGGTTATTCCTGCTGGTGCTTAGGGGGAAAATGCAGTGTTCAAGATGAAACCAGGGTTGGCTACAGGCAAGACAAGTGCCTTACCTCCTGTACTAACTCTCTGGCCCTCACTTTTCATTAAATTATAAAAAAAAAAAAATACTTAACTACGTTAAATTATAAGAAGATATACTATCTAAATGTTAGTAACATCAGTTATAGAATATACCAGTATTTTTTTTCTCCATTTCTCGGGTTGTCATCTCACTTCGATGTTGATTGTTTTGTTTTGTTTAGTTTTTTTTTTTTTAAGCACAAAGGCTTTTAACTGATGTCCAAATGAACCGTTTTTTCCTGAGGTTGCTTATGTTCTTCCTTTAGTATCTTAATTAGCCAGCTAGATGAAAACTGCTTTGCTTTGACTACTTGATGAGACCGTGTGGCAGAAGCAGCAGAGAAATTGCAAACTTTCTCAATTTTTTTCTTGATAGGCTTTGGAAGTGATAAAGCAGTTAAAGGAGAATATGAAGATCGAACGTGCTCACATGAGACTTCGGTTCATTCTCCCACTGAATGAAGGGAAGAAGCTGAAAGAAAAACTCAAGCCACTGATCAAGGTTGTGGAAAGTGAAGACTACAGCCAACACTTAGAAATCGTAAGGATTCTCTTAAAATTCTATTCTTCCAGTACTGGAGCAATAGCATAACAGATAGGGCATTTGCCTTGCACGCAGCCAACCCAGGTTTGATTCCCAGCATCCCATATGGTCTCCTGACCACCACCAGGAGTAATTCCTGAGTGCAAAGTCAGGAGTAACCCCTGAGCATCATCGGGTGTGACCCAAAAAGAAAAAAAAATTCGATTCTTCCATCTTTGTGTCCATTTGCCAAAATTCCCTAGTCAGAATTATTTAACAGACATTCAGAAGGTATGAGCAGTAAAGCATTCTTAGAATTCTGCTAGAACGTCAAGTCAGAGGGCAAGCGAAATAGTTCAAGGGGTCAAAGAGGAAGCCTCCCATGCAGCCCACCCCATCCCCAGCTCTGCAGGCCCTAGGGGCCCCGGATTAGAGTGACAGGACTCAAGAGGTATCATATCTTTGATTGGCAAAGAATAGATCTGCCAGCTGATAGGCCAGGAAGGACCTGGCCTTCCCAGCACCTTAGGAGTCCCTACTTCTTCCCCATTCCCAAAAAAGTCAGAGTTGAGTTAGAAATAAATTGTACTTGAACACACACTTTTTTAAATTATTTTTGATGAATTCATGCTTTTGTTTGTTTTGCTTTGTACTGTTTTGGTTCCACACCCAGCAGTGCTCAGGATTTACTCCTAGTTCTCTTAGGAATCACTACTGGCAGATTCCAGAGAACGATATATGGTGGATCGAATCTGGAACCCCAACATTGCAAGGCAAACAACACACCTACTGTACTGTCTATCTGGCCCTGTTGTGTTCATTTTTGGTGGAAGAATATATTATACTCTTAAATCTTTTATGAGGAAAATGGAAAGATTGAAAGTCAGTAAGACTCAATTACCATGAAATATTTTAAGCAACAAAAACGTCATTATCTTTGAGTTTGAACCCCACAGCTTTAGTGTAAATTCAGATATCTGCAGATGCATGTTTCGCGCCTCTTTAGCAAACAGCTCCAGAGGATTATTGAATATTAGACTCTAGATTTGAAATAAGACGTCTAAAATACTCTGGAGTTTTAAAATCCTCTCAAGACATAACATTTGGTCCGAAAGAAGACGTTTAGGGCTGGAGGGACAGTACAGAGTCTAAGGTCTTGTATCGCACACAGCTGAGCATCCCAAGCCTGCCAGATGATGCCCCAGTGGAGAACCAGGTGTAGCCCCCAAACAAAAGACATTTAAGTTTTTTACTCCTTCAGTTATGGATTTCTTAAAAAATAAAAAGAACTTTGAATGATGTGTAATGATAAATATTGGTATTCAAAAACCTGCAGCGGCCCGGCATGATAGTACAGTGGGTAAGGCACTTGCCTTACACGCAGCTGGCCCAGATTCGATCATTGGCCTCCCGTCTTATCCCCTGTGCACTGCCAAGAGTGATTCCTGGGAGCTGGAGCAATAGTACAATGGGTAAGGCATTTGCCTTGCACGCGGACAACCCGGGTTCAATTCCCAGCAACCCATATGGTCCCCCAAGCATCGCCAGGTGTGACCAAAAAAAAAAAAAAAATGTGATTCCTGAATGTAGAGCCAGGAGTAACACCAGACCATCTCCAGGGATGGCCCAAAAAGAATTTTTTTTTAAAAAATCTGCAGTCCTCTAGTCCAGCCACTTCATTAGCAGCAGAGGCTGCAACAGAACCTACCCGCCACCCCATGCTCTGTCTTCTCTGTTGCCCGGAAGGTTGTGTAGAGATGAACTTGGGAAGGGCTATGCGTGGTTGTCCAAGAGAGTCGGGGCTCTGTCTTCTGTGTCCTTAGCTGCCTATCTAAACGCTGTGTTCCATGTTTCAGGTGTGTCTCACTGACCCCGGCTGCTTCCGAGAAATTGACGAGCTAATTAAGAAGGAGACAAAAGGCAAAGGTTCTTTGGAAGTCCTCAATTTGAAAGACGTGGAAGAAGGAGATGAAAAATTAGAATGACACCAGTCTCTTCAGCTTTCTGACACTACAAGGGTTTTCATTTCGCAGTCCTTTCTGTGGTCTGCCAAAATAACTTGCTCACACTTGACGTTTGCTATCTTTGTGTTACACGTGTACACAGACTTTCCTTACTAAGTATTACCATATGGGATTCATTTACTTTCCTTTATAAATTGAGACTTTAGCCAAAAATGAAAAATTCAGTGTACAAAATGCAGAACACTTTGCTTCTGTCCTTGCCCTTGTAGCTTTCCAAGGTGAAAGTTATTTGAGGCAGTCCTTACGAATGGAAGGTTAATTAATTGTAGGAGGACATTTCTGTGACAGGTATTTGCTGAGAAAACATGATGAGTTAATCCTATGTGTGTATAGGATAATTTTCTTTTGTAGCCTAATAGAAAACTTGGATGATGACTTCCTGATTAGCTGGAAAAGAGACAGATACACAGTGACTGGGCAGGAACTGAAGGGGCTTCCTTGACAATACTGCCATGACCTGGGTCAGTCCCATTATAAAGTAGTTTATTTCTGATTTTTAAAGTTTATAATATATATATTAATATGGCTAAAATTATAATCAATAAAACCACTATTTTTATTAATCTACGGCTTGTGTTCCCAGATCACTTCTTACCTCCCTTCTTCCCTGCCTCTTGTAGGGCTGGAATTTCTTAGCAGGAGTAAGTAAATAAGTAGCCAGGATGCTTAGAAAAGACCTGTTGGATAAACACCTGCTAAATTAGCTGGGGCTGTCAGAGATACGGTTCTTAATATTTTAAAATTTTGGTGGACAGATTCTTTTTTTTAACTCATCCTCAAGAGAAATACAGATAACAAATAAAGGTTCATTTCATTATTAAGAATAGTTTTTATTTTAACTAAACACAGTGTTCTTATACCTGATTGGTTTCATATGCACGTAGAATTCACTTGTTACAAGTTCTCAGAAATGTTGTTTTAAAATCATTGAAATTACAAAGCTAAAAAATTTTTTGTATAAAAATAACATGGGTACACATTTGTTTACACTGACATTGAGCTTTGTACTGATACACTTCTTTAAATGTGGCTGATTTCATTTGTATAGTTCATTATTTTATAAAGATGGTTGAAACTTGAAGACAAAGGAAATAGTCAATTGTGAAGTTGTGAAGCTAACACGTTTAGTGGTTTTCATCTGTTCTGTAGAATGGTGGCAGTATATGGAGAAGTTATTACCACTGAACACAAAGTAGGCCTAGATCATGTACCATTTTACTGATATATAAATATTACAAATATTTTTATTACAAAAAATGATCTTTGTTTCTACTTTAGTCATCCACAAAATACTTTTAACAGTTCCTCAGGTGTAAGTTGAGAATCACTGCTTTTACCAGCTTGAACAGTTAAAACTGTCTCAGGTTAATTTTATAATTATTAAATTATTTTAATAATTTGTTACTAAAATGTCAGTCAGGGGGGCTGGAGAGATAGCACAGCGGGAAGGGCGTTTGCCTTGCACGCAGCCGACCCAGGTTCGATTCTCAGTATCCCATATGGTCCCCTGAGCACTGCCAGGAGTAACTCCTGAATGCAGAGCCAGGAGTAACCCCTGTGCATCGCCAGGTGTGACCCAAAAAGAAAGAAAAAAAAATGTCGGGGGCTGGAGAGAGTAGTGTGGGCTGGGCACTTTCCTTGCAAGCGGGTCTAAGTTCCTGGCACCTACCATGGTCCCCTGAACCCCACCAGGAGTAAGCCCTGAGCACTGCTGGTGTGGCATAAAAACCACAATAGCTGTATTTTTAGTGGGAAAAGATATAAGCAATTAGATACTTTTTAATTTTTTGATCCTCCTATAAAAGTGAGTTTCTCTCAAGTGGGGGCTATGTGAACCCCCAGAATATTCCAGGGGCCACAGGTGAAAATTATGTAAAGATGACATAAGAAAATACTGTCAAGAGGTTGAAAACCTGTAGATCAAACCATTTTTTTGATTTGCTTTGTGTTTTGCTTTTTGGGTCACACCCAGCGATACACAGGGGTTACTCCTTGCTCATGCACTCAGGAATTACTCCTGGCCGTGCTCGGGGGACCATATGGGGTGCTGGGAATCAAACCCGGGTCGGGCCACGTGCAAGGTAAATGCCCTACCCGCTGTGCTATCACTCCAGCCCCTCAAACCATTTTTGAACTAAAAAAGGTCTTACTGGGTTGGAGCAATAGCACAGCAGATAGGACATTTGCCTTGCACGCGGCCAACCCGGGTTCGATGCCCAGCATCCCATATGGTCCCCTGAGCACGGCCAGGAGTAATTCTTGAGTGCAGAGCCAGGAGTAATCCCTGTGCATCGCCGGGTGTGACCCAAAAAGCAAATAAAAAGAAGCTCTGAGTTTCTGTTTTTAAAAAGGTCTTACAGCTTGGTCAGAATGGACATTTCTAAATTAACACGTGGTAGTGCAGCTCTTTGCTTTGATGCTTCTCTCATCTCCGTGCAGTTCCTCTAGCCAGTAGAGCCCCATACTGCTTGAAATCCCTTCACAGACCATGAGTTTGCCCACCCTTGCTTTTGGGTTCGCCATTGGTACACACACACACACACACACACACACACACACACACACACACACACACACCAATGTGTTGAGCCTAATTAAATGTGAGGTGATACCTGCACTACATGAGGTCCCTTGACTTCAGAAACTCCATCATTGCAGGGTTTAATCCTGGAGGCCTTTGAGCATCACCAGGTGTGGTTCTGCTGGCCCCTGAATTCTGCCAGGTGTGGCCCCCAACACGACTGGGGTGCCCCTTGTGGTCCCTGGCGTGACAGGGCCGTAGCACTGAACCATCACCAGGTTAGCACTTGGGACGCTTCCAGGCTCCCTGCACACTACTCGACAGGGTTTATCAGCTACAGCAGCATTTCTCAACCAGTAGAGTCGGGAAGTCAGATGGAAATTGTGTAAATACGGGGTCATGGCCCAAGATTAGAGGGGCCAGCCCGTAGGACGGCAACAGAAGGAAGCATTGCTGGAAGTGACAACAGTTCGAAAAAGTTTGAGGAAAGCTTTGTACAAAGGCTACTTGGCGTCACTAGGTGGTTTCTGGTATGCTAAGTTGCCACAACCCTCAGGATATTTGCATCTGCTGCCAGCAGAGGTCCACGTTTCCCCCCAGAATATCCAGTCCAGTCTTGCTCTGTTGGCTGTAAAGAAAATTGCCAATGTTCATATGCACTACCCATACACATGTTTTTAGCCTGCTCACTACCTCAACCCCACCTCATGAGGTTCTAAAGACTTCAGTGGTTGCTAACCCTTATAGTTTGCGTGACTGTTTTCAAATTCAGGGCACTGGTTATTTGAAAATCCTTTCTGCTGCTGTACAATGTATCAAACTCCAGTGGTTGTGGAAAAACTGCCGCTTGCAGCATTTAATGATAGAGATAGCAGAAGCCATTGGCTCTTCGCTCATCACTCCTAGCATTACCCAGCCAACCAGACCTATAGTTCAATATAAAAATCTGAGGCCATAGGGTCAGAGCCATAGTACAGCTGGTGGGAACTTGCCTTGCACGTAGCTGACCCAGGTTTGATCCTCAGAATCCAATATGGCCCTCTAAGCACAGCCGGGAGTGATCCCTGAGCACAGAGCTGGGTGTAGTCCAAAAGAAGCAAAAAAAAAAAAAAATCTGAGATTACAGTGTGCGTCATCCCTGCAGTGCTCAAGGGCCCTCAGGGCCACGCCAGACAATACTCAGGAAGGCCATGCGGTGCCAGGCATCGCACCAATGCTTCAATAAGCTGTTAAGAATATCTCCTCACCCCCAAACTTAAACTTTTATAGTCTTAAGAATATGAAAGTGTTTCACTAATAAAAATTTTTTTTAAAAAATATGAGTTACTAGAAAGTGTTTTGACAATTATGGGAAGACACAATACTTAAAAGAGTAGATATAGTTTTTACTCATTAAAAAACTTGTATGAGGCTGGAGTCAGTAGGGTGCTTTCTTTGCACACATGGTAGACATGGGTTCGATCCCCAGCACCACTTATGGTACCCTGAACCCTCCCAGGAGTGATTCCTGAGTGCCAAGCCAGGAGTAAACCCTGATCATCGCTGGATGTGGCCCCCAAACCAAAACAAAAATATGCATTTAACTTTTCTCCATACCTCTCTAGGATGGTAATAAACAAAGAGCTATGAAAATCCCAAGGCACTGTGTTGGTACTTGATCATATGCACTTGGGGGAGCACAGTTCAACAATAATACCCAGTAATTCTGCTCCTAAATATACTCTTCAAAGAGTTGAAATCATGCAACATGAACAGATGAGTCAGCAGATAAGGGGCCTCAATAATGTACTTTTGGGAAATAATAATACAAGAAGAGATGTCCTACCTCTAAAGTGGCCCAAAGGCATGAAGATCACATTCCTTTGACATACAAATCCTGAACTCTTTGTAGAGGAGAAACTTAGCCCTCACAAAGAGAAGGGTGGACCCTCAGAGAAGAAGTTACAGAAGAAACCATGAGATTATGAAAAGACCATCAACAGCTGCATAGTACTCCATTGTATAGATATACCAGTGTCTTTAGCCAGTCATCTGTTCTCAGGCACTCGGATTTTTTCCAAATTTTGGCTATTGTGAACTGTACAGCAATGAACATAGAAGTGCAGATGTCACTTCAGCTAAACTTTTTTGCCTCTCCAGGATATATTCCCAGGAGTGGTATTGCTGGATCAAATGGGAGCTCAATTTCTAATTTTTTGAGAATCGTCCATACTGTTTTCCAAAAGGGCTGGACCAGTCGGCATTCCCACCAGCAGTGAAGAAGAGTCCCTTTCTCACCACATCTGCACCAACATTGGTTGCCCCTGTTCTTTTGGATGTGGGTCTGTCTCTGTGGTGTGAGGTGATATCTCATTGCTGTTTTGATCTGCATCTCCCTGATGATTAGTGATGTAGAGCATTTTCTCATGTACCTTTTAGCCATTCAGAATTCTTCTTTGAAAAAGTTTCTATTTATTTCATTACCCCATTTTTTGATGGGGTTGGATGTTTTTTGTGGAGTTCAACCAGTGCTTTGTATATCCTTGATATCAACCCCTTATCCGATGGGTATTGGGTGAATATTCTTTCCCATTCTGTAGAAGTCATAAAATTTACATACAAATGTTACTACATGGAAAGTATCATGCTAAGTGAAATGAGTCAGAAAGAGAGGGAAGACATAGAAAGATTGCATTCATCTGGGGAATATAAAATAACAAAATAGGAGATCAACATCCTAGAATAGTCAAGATAAGTTACAAGAGGTTGACTCCATGGCTTGAAGGCCAACCGCACATGCTATGGGAAAGGGCAGCTCAAATGGAGAAGGGAACACTAAGCAAAGGGTGTTGGGAGGATTCTCCCAGGATGGGAGATGCATGTTGAAAGTAGACTATAGACCGAACATATTTGCCACTCAATGCTGCTTTTGCAAACCTTAGCATCCAAAATGAGAGAAAAAACAAAAGGGAATGCCCTGCCACAGAGGCGGGATGGGATGGGGGGATGGGAGGGATGAGAGGGTTACTGGGACCATTGGTGGTGGAGAATGGGCACTGGTGGAGGGACACAATCATTGTATATCCAAAACCCAAGTACAAAAACTTATAAGGTCAACAACTATACCACATGGTGTTTCGCTAAGAAAAAAGAAGAAAAAAGAAAAGACCATCAACAGTCCAAGGGATGAGATTAGTGAAGATCATTAATAGCGCAAGGGAAATACCTGGATTAAGTTTTATGTATGCAAAACCTAGGAAAAAATATTTGGAGAAATTGTATACAAGCTTGTCCTGAATGTCATTGGGGTGGGGGAAGTCAGAGAGAGAGAGTATAGTGGATTGGGTATTTTCCTTGCTTGCTGCTGTTCATGGCGGGTTCGATCTCTGCCCCCCACATGGTCTCCCGGGTCCCACCAGGATGGATCCCTGAGTGCAGAGCCAGGAGAAAAAACTGAGCAACTCTGCATATGGACTAAAAAAAAAAAAAAAAAGATGAAAGCCATTTGGGGCTCGCTCTTCTAGACTGCATTCTCTCTCAAATATAGATTTCTTTTCTCTCGCCCCTCACAGGTTTCATTCAATAAAAACGATTTCTCTTCACTCTTCTGCCTCTTCCTGAAGTTACACTGGTCAGAATTATTCCTGGTGGTGCTGGGGGACTATGTGGGATGCCAGGTCGACTGTGAGCAAGGCAAGCACCTTACCTGCTCTCTGGCCCTAGTTCTCTTCTTTCTGCTCTCATACTTCTGTGTGCTTTGCTGACTACGTGTGCCATCATTTTTTTGAGCTCATTAAAGTTACTCCCTGAGAGGCTGGAATGATAGCACAGCAGGTAGGGCATTTGCCTTCCACCTGGCCAATCCCGGTTCGATTCCCAGCATCCCATATGGTCCCCTGGGCACCACCAGGAGTAATTCCTGTGTGCAGAGCCAGGAGTAACCCCTGTGTATCTCCACGTGTGACCCAAAAGCAAAAAGAAAAAAGGAAAAAATAAGTTACTCTCCGAAAGTATACAGAACTCGTTATTGCTCCCCTGGAACAGGGTAGGATGGGGGGAAGAGAGTGAAATAGTGAGAAAATAGCGGTTCCAGGCAAAAATCCTCCTACCTTCTCCTGGTCTTCAGAGTTTTTCCACAGATAGTTGCTTCTATTTTATTTGCCTTTAGTCCATCAGGCTAAAATACTTGATTCTGACCATTCCATCCTGTTTTCTATCTGCTGAACTCTTTGCCAGAGATGCCTAGACATGATTAAACCTTTTGCCAGGACACAGCTTGGCTGTGGGGACATCACAGTCACAGTCCCTATGAAGCAGTCATTTAAATGAAGTTCTGCTCCAACGAAACCTCCCTCTGACAATGAGGGAAGTCTAAGAATACTTTAGCTTAGCGACACAGCCTAGACAACACTCTCCGAGTCAGTACACAAAGAGCAGAGCTTTGATGTGACAGGATGAAACATTTGCACTTCCTGAAACATCAACAGTCTGCTTGCTTTGGGCAGTCTTCATCCTCATGGTGAGTGTCACAGAGCTCAGACTCTTGATGTTCATAAAGGCAGGAATCTTATTTATGAGACTTTTCTATAATATCAAAATTATTCACTGTCACTGTCACTGTCCTCCCATTGTTCATCGATTTGCTCGAGCGGGCCAAGTAACATCTCCATTGGAGACTTTGTTGTTACTGTGTTTGGCATATCGAATACATCATGGGTAGCTTGCCAGGCTCTGCCGTGCGGGCGAGATACTCTCGGTAGCTGGCCGGGCTCTCCGAGAGGGGCAGAGGAATTGAACTCGGGTCAGCCATGTTGGCTGCGTGCAAGGCAAATGCCCTACCGCAGTGCTATCACTCCAGCCCATCAAAACTGTTATTTCATTATATATGTTATATACTAGTTTCCTAGGACACTGCCATAACAATGTACCACAAACCGAGCAGCTTGGAACAGAAATGGATTATCTCCTAGACAAACCTGGAAGGGAATCCGTTTTCATATCTCCCTTGCTTCCGGTGTTTTTGGTTTTCACTGGGGGGAGGTAGAAGGGGAGGGGAGACACACAACACATCCAGCTACACTCAGGGCCTACTCCTGGCTCTGTAATCAGGAATCACTCCCCGTAGGGCTCAGGGGACTACCAAGGGTGCCTGAGATTGAACCCGGGTCAGCCACTGCAAAGCTGCAAGGCCCCAGATACTGGTGTTTTATCAAAATCTTTGGTGTTTCTGGGTTTGCTATTGCATAAGTTCAACATCTGCCTTCCTTGTCATGTTTTTCTCATGTTGTGTTACTGCCTTCGCATGCAGTTTTCTTTTTTGGCGACTCACTTTTAAATTTCTAAAGAAAGCACAAAGAATGGACTCTTATTTGTTAACTATGCATGCCCATTATTGTACAGCATCTTGAGAATGTATCATCTCTCACAACTGAAACTTTGTTCCTGTTCCACATCAATTACTGGAAGGGTCTTAGGGCAACCATGTAGAGCATCTTCAGGCCTATCAATATGGAATTCAGTGCTCCTGTGCAGTGTGCCTTGTTCAGGTTGTTCACCACCCTATGGTGGTGGCTTGCAGACAATAGCGACTTGTTTGTCTCAGTTTTTGAAGACGGGGAAGTCGAGGAACAGGGATCTGGTGAGTCAGAGTTTGCTGAGAGCCCGCTTCCTGGGTGAGAGATGGCTGTCCCCACATGGCAGAAAGGGCTCCTGTCACTAATCCCATCCTTGAAGTATTTACTTTCAGCACCTAAAATACCTCCCAAAGGTTCCACCCCCAAATGCCATCTTACTGGGGTTTAGGTTTCAGCCTAACATGAATTTGGGAGGAAAAGAAAACATCGATGGAACTGGCTGCTGTTGGAATTCTCTAGAGTCACCTGCATACGGGGATCAAGATGAGATCCAGGTACACCTTGTATCAAGGTGGAGTGTGTGTATTGTCACTTCCCCACCACCACCGTTAATACAGGAAATCTGAAACTTCTTGTATGATAATACGTATCTGTGGTGTTTAGATGTTATTCTGGCTCTCTGAAGGAAAAGACATTTCAATTGTATCACGTTCAGCTGTAAATATAAACAAAGTTAAAAACAGGGATCTGGGACAAATAATGGCTGGGATCTCTGAAAAGAGAACAGGTCAGCGGGTTCATGAGTAAGACCTGAAAGCTGAATGCTGCAGACACTGTTAATTGCTGCAGGAGCTGTTAATTGCTTCCATAGATTAATTCGTGATACTTGAACTATGCAGGAAGTCTTTATTTTTCTTTTTAGTCTTTTATTTTTAAAGAAATGTTAATCATTGTTGGAGCCTGGCACTCGCTTCACTGTGCAGCACTTCCCTAAGAATGCAACTCAGCTGAGGGAAACATACCTTAGTTTGTTCAGAAACAGCTGTCAGCAGGCCTGCTGCAGGAATACGGTGGCCAGGACAGCCACTCCTCTCAGAGCACTCTGTCCCACCCCAACACTGCCGGGAGGTCGTGTCTAGGCTCCGGGTTACGAGACCCACGCATGGCTATAAGAGTTGCTTTCCTTGTCTTGCTTCACTGGATTTGTCAAGTCCTATCTTCCCTTCCTCAGCTTAGATACAGAAATATCAAATTTTCTTTCCGGGGCAGTAAAATTCCTACAAAGAGGACTGCAGAGGTGGAGAGGACCAGTCGGCTACTTTGGTGTGACTTTGATTCTGCTCCTGAGTGTGCTCCTGAGGGGTCTACAGGAGAGCAGCAGGCTAAGGGGATTGCATGCTCTGAACCAGAGGGAGAGGGAGGCCCCCTTCTCAGCAGCAACCACCACAGGACCTGCAAGGTATAAAAGCAGAGTCAACCTAGGCCCCACTAGACAACAGAGCGTTTGTCCTCTAAGGGAGAAGATTGCACACTTGGCAAGACCAGCTTACTAGGAATCACTGCCCTCTCATCCTGATGATAGGTGGACCCTGCACAGAGCAGCAGAGAAAAAACCAAATGTTCATCACATATGTTTTTCCTTACCAAACATCCGTCTGGAAGAAATAGAGACGCAGCAAATAAATTCAGATGTTTTATTCTGTAAAGCACATATGCACATATTTCAAACACAGAAAATTAATCTGGAAGTGAATGCCATAACAGATCAGCTACTGACCATCATGCAGCAAGATAAGTGAAATGATCTGCTGGCCCTCCTAACCCTACAGTGCCCGCAGAAGGGTTGGAAACCAGGATATTGAATTACCTACACACTGCCAAAGAAAACGCAACAGAAATGGCAGGTTCCTGATGAAAAGAAAAACTTACAAATAGAATCAAAACTGATTCAAGTCAAACAGTGAAAGGACAAAAGGAAAAAAGGAAAAGAGATCAATATGATCTGAAACAACCATTTTAATAGTAAGTTGCTGACCTTCTGTTGGACCTTATCCAGTCCAAGGTGCCTGAGGATGAGCGAGTGCTCCTGTGCTGGGTCACCCCTGGACGGCAAACAGGCCCTGTCTGTGACACTCTCCTCCTGCAGTCGCCAGCCAGACCCGGCGGTGTCCAAGTACTAACGGATCCTCTGGGCTTCCTGAGGCTCCAGGGAAGTCCCCGGTCATTAGACTTCTTCCCAGCTCCCCTGGGCTCCCAGCCTCCCCTACCTCCCTTGGATACCTGCGTGGCTCTGGGCTCTGAACTCTGGATTACCTGCTAGGGTGAATGCTGGGTTTTAAACTGTGTCCTAGCTTTACCACGAATTAGATCGTCCAGGCACCTGAGGCCCTTCCTTTCCTTCCTTTCCTAGCTACAGATTCCAGCCATTCCCTATTCGACAAACAAGGGGGGTTAAAATTAGCCAACATGCTGGATTGCACAAACCAGTGAAACTGACTTCTTTTGCCTGCCTTTCTCCTTTGATATTACTTCGTCAGTTATAAATCTAATCCTGTAACTCCACTTCGATGGGATTCCATCAATTCGGTAGCAGCTTAATCTAAAATCTGTTGGTCTTAATGATGCCGCGTTTGTAAAGGTCAAGCCAAATAAATGGCTCTTTCTCTATCTTACCTCATCAGAGCCTCCAGTCTCTAAAGAGAAAACCAAATGAACAAATTAGCCATGCATCATTAAGCAACTCGTAACAGACAAAAAAAAAAAAAAAAAACAACTGGATAGACAAGTCATTATCACGCTTGAAATGTACTAAAAGGAAAAAAGGATTACAAACATATCTAGTTACTATGGTGATTATTTTAACCATCTTCAGTTAAAAAACAACTGCTTTCCATTCAAGAATGCCTGCGATAAACATACTGGGCCAATACATTTCAGACTGTAGGACTGATTCTAACTTAGAACAGACTATACGCCAAGAGTTAAGAGATAGAAGAACTGACAGTCATGTCTAAGGTTTTATTTGCCCTTTTGCTGGAACAGTGCTTGGGAGAACACAGAAATCACTAATGATGATGAGTTATTAAGGCAAAGAGCTAAAAGAGCTATCGATTTTTTTTAATTGAAAAGAGAAAAACAAAAAATAAGTACAGGGAAAAAAAATCACACATTTTTAAATATAAATGAAATATAAATGGAAATGGATTAAAAGGAAAAAGAAAGCAAAAACTAGATCATCAAAATGTTACTAGGAAGCGCTTTTGGTTTTCCTAGTAAGTGGCTTTGATTAAAATTTCACAGGCATATTTGTCACATCATCCAGCATTGTTACCAGGAAATGTTACTTTTTCTTCTGACCATTCCTTAATTGTAAAAAAAGGAGAGTTCATCTCCTCTTCAAAAACACCAATTAACTATTAAACCAAATCATTCTTTCTTTCCATAATGTTATCTGCATTCCAGAAAAGGGTTAAATTTATTCTAAAGTCATATTGTTATTTTCAAGCCTCTAGCGCAAAGAAACTGCTGTAACTATTACAATGAAAAGAATGAGCAACAGAGGAGAAAGGGGGAGACATTCTGTGCCAATTCAAGCCATACTTCTCACCAAAGTGGAAAATGAAACTTAAGATCTTTATTGTGTAGTGACTCTTAAGTACTTAACTTTTTACTCAAGATAAAAAAGCGTAAGTCTGTCCTAACTAGAGCAGTATTAAAATGTAACTATTGTACTTTTTTTCTTCAAAGGGAAAAAAAAACTGATAAAGATAGGCATGTTTCCTTGCAAGCAAAACAGAGAAAACAGTACTACTGTTGTTACTATGATTTTTAAGCCACAGACACATAAAATCCACAAAATGGATCGGTGGCTTTGGAAATGCAGTATCATATCAAAGGCGCAGACTGTTTTGAACAAAAGCAAACCTCAACCCCACCAGTAACGAATGCCCGGTGACCTCTTAAAAGACAGCGTGGCACGATTTGCTCCAAGAGCAAGACCACCACTCCCCTTTGGCGCTCCAAGAGAACATCTTGCCAAGTGTACAGGTGAGGCTGACGGCTTCTGGCTGCGCCCAGTGCAAAGCACGTGCATCATTGGACCAATTTCTGAATAGATTTTTATAAATATATACAAATCAGTTACAGGCACTTTGAAATGTCTTTGGCTGGAATAACCCAACATTGCGAGATAATGTATTCACAGAGTGTCCAGGCCCAGGCTGGGTTCAGCAGGCAATGATTATGGTTCCTCAGTCTCTCAGCAAGCCACCAGCTGGGGGGTTAGGCATCAGCCAGAGCCACCTAAAGAAGACCACAAGATAAGCAAACGGTCACACCGCAGCGCTAAGGTAACTAGCCCCGCCTCTCCTGGGCTCTACCCAAAGACATGCACATTCGCTTCAAGCCAGAGAATCACGAAAACCCTATGAAAATCCTTAAGAAATCCCCGAGGTTCTTCTCATCTAGGACAGAATCATTTCCTGCCGTGTCACAGACCAGCTGTGCTGAGGACAGAATCCGCCGGTCCAAAGCCTTAATGGGTATACTCTCAGGCCCCTTCTCCGTCCTTTCCCCTCCGGACTCCTTTCCAACCCTGATTTCTTCCTGTGACCTATGTCCTACCGACTGGCCTCCTAGCTTCATGCTGTGGCCCCATTTATGCGATTTTCACCTCGGACTATTCTGGGGATCCACAGTGGGCCCTCTGGCCCCCAGCTGAGAACCACTGCACTAAAGCAAACTCCCCAAGGGGTGACACCAACTCCCAAGGCATGGGACCGCCAGTGGGGAGCAGCCACTGCAGGGACACATCAGGTGGCTCACTTAGAGGAGAGTTCAGGCAATTGGGGCGGACACCAAATCATGTTTTTTTTTTTGTTTTTTAACTTAAAAAGGGGTCAGTAGGCTAAATAATTTGGGAACCCCTGCTCTACGCAAGGCTTCTGAACCCATTTCCACCTGTAATCCCTTTAGGTTGAAGAAATGAAATATGGGCAGATACTGCAACAAACACCCCCAGATTTATTCCCTAGTTGATCTTAAATTTTGGTCATGTGCATTCAGAAACCTTTCATTTTTGCCAAATTTTTCACGACAACACATTCAGTTACCTGATCCTATATGAAGTCACAGACCACAGTTTAAGGCTCTCTAAGAAAAAATAACGTAACAGAACTAGACAGGTCTTTCTGTGTAAAGACCTCTAGCAAAATGCTGAGCCAGACTCCATCCACATCTCACCTTCTCAGGGCAAAACTCAGGATTGCTCTGACGCAATTTGCTTGGTCTGCCTTTGATAACAGCATAGCAAAACATTGTTATCACCATCACGAAGAGAAAGTAACTGGTGTGCATGAGGTGCAAGTTTATTAATGAACGGTCATCCTAGAGAGAAAAGACAAGAAACATCTGTACCGGGTTATCAGAACATCTTAATGCCGTATTTCTAGACCCAGGGCTCAAAATCTCTAGACTTATCTCAACTTTAACTCTCTTTGGGGGAAGATGGGGCTTCTCAAACAATGCCCGGGGGCACAGGGGCCACTCCTAGTGATTCCAAGTCAACTAGATCAGATGGTTCGATGTTTGAGCCCAACAGTGCTCACCAGGGTAACATTTCGAGGCACAAGAGAAGGGAATAAGGTGTTGGGGATCCAGTGCATGGCCTCAAACATGGAAGGCATGAGCTCTACTTCTTTGCACGATCTTCCTGGCCCCTCAAGTTTAATCTTTTAGGTTTGTCTGGGACCACAACTGCCAGTGCTCAGGATCCCACAAAAAACAGTCTATGAAAACCAGTCCCACTCTGTGCTCAGGAAGATGTCTGGTAGTACTTGAGGGACCATATGCAGTGCTGGGGACTGAACTGCAATCAGCTATGTGCTAGATGAGATAGACTTCCTGTACTCTCTCTCCAGCCCACAAATTTGTTTTTCTATTTTAATTATAATAGTTCAAGTCAGATATTTATAAAAGTAGTGTTAATGCTATGGCTTTGATGTACACAATTACCACCACTCAACACCACCCAAGGACCCAAGACCGTCCACCAAAGTCCTTCATGCTACTCTAGCCCACCTCCGCATTCCATAGCCCAACACTGTCCTTAGGTTATGTAGTGTCTATCCCACATCCCATACCCCACCCCAAAACATTGGTAATCCTGGTTTTGTAATCTAAATCAAGGCTGTCATCTATTTTAATTCTTTAACTGGAATAGTCCTGTTCTCTATCTGTCTTCTAAATATTAAATCTGGCTCTCATTCTGCAATGAGAAGGTATTCCAGAGGATTTCTTAAGCAGCCTTCTGCCGAGATTTCTGCACCCCTACTCTATGGGAACACTCAGCCCCCTCCCCTAGAGGTTCTCTCCTGAGAAGCTTCCAGGGAACCGGTCTTTAACACCTATGTGTGTCTGGTTTCATACCCCGTTCCTCTCCTGTGAGCTTCAGACCCCCTCCCACCTACAACTAACTACCTGATGGGCAGAACAGTCTTCCTAACACTCTGCTCTACAAATCCTGGAAAGCGCATCCAAGAAAGTGACTGCCTAGCCTGAAAAGAAAGTCTAACTACCCCAGGAGGCTTCCACCCACTATCCAACCTGATCACAGCTCACTCCTGGCAGGGCTCTAGCCTACAACTTCCACAACTTGATAGAAAGTGGACGAGGGGGAAAAATAAGAGGCTGCAGAGAGAGCTCAAGGTCAGGGGTACCTACCTTGTATACAACTAGGGTCAGAGCACTGCCAACTGTGGTCCTAATGAGCCAGAGCTGTGCCACAATGCCCGACTGGAGTATTAAGCAAGCAGGAGTGTCCCTAAGCACTGCATGGGCAATACCCTAACACACCCTTCCCCACCACCCCACCCCCCGCCAAAAAGAAAGAAAATAAATCCATGTGACATGCTCACAGAAAAAGAACATTTAATTAAAAAAAAGAGAGAGAGAGCAGTCTGCTAAAAGTAGACACAAATCTAAGAAGCTAAAAGTGGCACATCACCCACCAATCTAGGTTAGTCTTCTTTCCTGTTTCTCAGTAGGTAAAATTCTATTCAGTACCTCTCAATATCAAAGTCTCACTCAACTTCTCCATGTAGGTGAAGCTCCTACCTTTCTGAATTCCAAAAGTACTATTTAAATCCAATACTGACATAAGCTAAATGTTCTTCTTGGAATAGCTGTTAGCATGCTTAAAACAGCACAAGTATCTCCCACAACACCCAGGGGTCAATCAAGAATAACTGCTGAGTGAAGCAGCAAAGAACAGAGCAGAATGTCCTTAGGCAGGGTCAGGGGTGTGGTTCAAGGGGCTGAGCACATGCCTCGCATGTAAGAGGTCCAAAATTCAAACCCTAGCACAAGGCTCCTTGAGCCTCTCTGGAGTGGCCTTGGGCCCGCAAGCACGACTGGGTGTGGCCCCTGCTTTAAGACATTTTTAGGAAAATAAATTTTAAAAGAATTTCCTCAACTTCAAGGGTGGCACATTTTCCCAAGTCTTGTCATTCTGCCTCATCTTCCAATCCAGAAAGAAATCCAGAATGGCAGGGACCAAGCTAACCCAAAAAAGTTAAAAAAAAAAAAAAAAAAAAAAAGCTACTTCAACAATTCACAATTCATACAACGTCTTCACTTACATCTGGAACAATAACGGTCAGCTTGGGATTTAAAGCATGATACACTTTTCCAATGGCGCCCTTGTAACACCAGAAAGGATTATAATCTTGAGCATATTTTGTGTTGGCATCTCTGGCAGTCGTGAAGATCTTGTACCAGAGCGTGGCGTTGCTGTACGTATCAGGAACACAATGTGGTGGCTGTCTGCAAGGGAAGAGAAGCAGAGACACATGCTCTGTAGTCTGAGACATTTACAGGTTTCCCTTAACACTGAACAGAGCCACATGTGTAAAAAAGAGACACACACATGTTTCTCTGAGATAAGTACTGTCATGTCCCTAGTTCAAGAATTTTTAAAAACTTGAATGAACATAACAGGTCCTACAAGAAATAAGCATCTGATATAAATGAGTCTGAAGAACCTCTGCCTTCAGAATCCAAGCATGGTCCTCCGACTTACGATGCTGCCAAAAGGAGCAACTTCTTTCAAGTCTATTTTCTCAAATGATCTAAATGTCTTAAAGTCACAACTGGAAACTTTATATACAACCATCTCCATCACCCGAGCAGCAAAGTATCTTATCTTTCCTATCAAACCCCAAAAGTCTAAGATAAACACCGGGATAATTATTAGTTTAAAATAAAATCCCTTGTGGGGCTGGAGAGATAGCACAGTGGGTAGGGCATTTGCCTTGCATGCAGCCGACCTGGGTTCGATTCCCAGCATCCCATATGGTCCCCTGAGCACCATCAGGAGTAACTCCTGAGTGCATGAGCCAGGAGTAACCCCTGTGCATCGCCGAGTGTGACCCAAAAAGAAAAAAAAAAAGAAAATAAAATCCCTTGAATAAGCTACATTTTATATTCCATGTATTTGCAGATCTTTCGCTCTTTTCAGAGGGAAAAAACACAGTTGTTCCTTAAGACATTTCAAAAACAGTATTTTGTACTTTGAAAACAAAAACAGATCATCATTTCCCCCCTTTGTTTTGTCTTCTTCTTCAATTGTACACTTGCTTTCAATTGTAAAAAGATCTAGACAATGGAAAAAAACAAAATCTTCCTTTTCGAGATCCTAAATTAACAGTTATTCTGGTCACAGACCAGAGCTCTTATCTTTCCCAGATGTGCTTATTCTACAAACAGGATAGGCAGTTTAAGAACACACAACCACCGGGGCTTCTACTACTTCATTGAAGTACTGACTCTGATAATTATTTGTAGAAATTCTATCTGCAGAATCCCAGGTTTCCCGAAAGTTCTTTACATAAACCCATGTCAGGAACATCCTGCGAATTCGCTCCAGCACCCCCCTCCTGGTAGTAAATGGAGTCTCTCGCCCACATCCGCTTGGGTCAGAAAACCACTTACACTGTGACAGGGAACACACCGGGGTTGGCTGTGAGGGTCATGCAGGCTGTGAACACCACCTGCTCACAGTGACTGTGAAGGGCACAGTCGTCCGAACTCCACGCTGTGGGGAGGGTAAAGGTAATGTTTATCTCCTCGTGGGCTTCCCTGCCTAGGAGAAAGAAACCATTTTTTGGTAAGCAAAGGCAAAAATTTATGTATTACTCCTGGGGCCCGAATGAATCCTGATACCAACACCACCCAGGAACCACCTACAGTGCACAGAAGCACAACACCTGCTTTCGAAGGATCGAAGAAACAACTGCTCTGAGACCACTGTGAGGCCTGCTCACCCAGCAGTGCCACGAAGCGCCAGATGGAGAAAGATCACCTCGAGCCAGCGCCTGGCCCAGCGTCAGGCCAAAGTGCAGGCCGTGTCCACGCTGGAAAGCTGGGTTGGGTGGACTGCAATCACCACTGTTCTAGCGTTTGGACAGCACTCCTATCATTTTCTATCTGCTTTTATATGTGATTTTTCACTTAAAATTTACCACTCACTCACAAACGGGACCAAAAGAGTGTTGCGAGTTTCCTTTTCTATGCCAGGAGACTGAGGGTGAGAAGGTTACAGGCTAGTAAGTGATGGAACGTAAATGAAAATCAGGAGTCCCACCACAGTGCAAGGAATAGGTCTACTTGCAGAACAGAAACCCAGAACTGCCTTACCTTATTGCCACAGGATCAGCTCACCATGACAGCAAAGAGAAAGCGGGAAGACACTCTCATGTTCACTTAAGGACATTTTTGGCTTTGGGGCCACACTCAATGGTAGTCAGGGGCTACTCCAGGCTCAGTGCTCAGGAGTTGCTCCTACTGGTGCTCAAGGAACCAAGCGGTGCCAGGGACCAATGCATGCAAAGCATTGTTCTAGTCCACTGAGCTCTCTCTGGGCTTCCTTTAAAGACTTGAAATGGTTCTTGGTAAACAAAGAAACCAATGCTTACTCTTTCAAGACCGGAATCTCCAGAATGTAGCCTTTCGGGATCATAACACCTTCTCAACAACTAACTTATTTCTTTCTGGGTATGTGTGTGGGGGGGTGTATGCATGGGTGTATGAGGGGGAGGGGTCATAGCTGACAGTGCTCAGGGGCTACTCCTGCTATTGCTTGGAAAACCATGCAGTGCAGGGGATTAACCCTGCACCTGCCACATGCAAAGCAGATGTTCCAGTCCTTTAGACTCTCCCAGCACTCTGATCTGATTTTTAAAACGAACAAGTGTGTGAGTGTATATATAAATACATATCATCTTTGTGCCAGGAACTACTGTCAATTCTTGGCAAATATTAAGTCATACATGTCTATGCTACAGTCCCAAACTTCCACAGAAACGAATAGATTGTAAGTTTTTCTCTATTTCTTCCCAGCCACAAAAACAATGCTATCATAGCTTAATGCTGAGCTAATTGTGCACAGCTCAATGGTGAGCTAATAACGGAGTCCAAAAATCTGTCGATGAACAACAATAGCATGCACTGAAAACTCCAACAAAAAAATGGAAAAAAAAGGAAAAAGTTGTCTGTTAATATAAAACCAGAAATAGCCCGTGCAGTTTCTTGCCCTTTTGGTAAGAGTCTATTGCGTGTCCAGCACTTTATTAAAATAAAGATGTAGCAGATATGGCTCCTTAACATCACTTACTTGAAACTCAACAAAAGGTGAGACACATGCAAATATAATCTGAGTAAACCCTAGCTGCTAGGCATCGGCCTTAAAACAGGGGCTGCCCGTGACAGTCTGAGAACACAGTGACTACAGATACCTGAAAGTCCAATCTGATGCCCTAAAATGGTCGAGTATAGATGAGTGACATTTCGGGAGTATCCTCCAAAGGGTTTCAGTGGGTCCAGAGTCAGGGTGATTGCAACCGAGATGTTAATTGGGCCTGAATCCTCCAGGGCCTGTGGGGATTGGGTGGACACTCTGGTCTGCCCACTGGTCATTGTGCTTTCTGGAGTCGTGGTGTCATTTGTAAGATGCTTTAATGTCTCATTCTCTGATACACAGAAGTCCAAATCATTAAACCTCAGTAGAAAAGTATTCCAATCCTTCAGGAATAGGAGAAAGAGAAATCAGTCTGAGTAGTCCAAAAGCGCAGCCACCACAAAAAAGAGTTACTTTGATATCACACAGGAACAGAGAAACTATACTTCACAGTCAGGCTTTTAATTTAAAATAACAATGACCATAAAGCATCACCCTCTTTAGACTGGCCTAGCGGTGGAATTTTCCAAACCCTTTCTATTCAAAATCTAAGAAACTATTCTGGACTGGCATGAGGTAGTAAATAAATGTAAGATAAACCAACTTGTACAAGAAGATCAAACAGCCTTTATACTTCAAGTAATCTACCTTCAGAATCAAACTTGATTGGAAAAAAAGAAGCTTGAACAAAAGAACTAATCCAAACTCATTAAGCAGTTACATCACTATTATTATTATTGTCACTTTTGTTTGTTTTTGCACCACACCCGGTGGTTCTCAAGGCTCTTGAATCTGCATTCAGAGATCATTCCTGCGGGCTTGGGGGTGCCAGGGATCAAACCCAGGTCAGTTGCACGCAAGGCAAGCGTCTACTTACTGGACTATTGCTCCTGCCCCTATAATTATTTTTTAATAAGGCTTTATTGATTCTTTTCAAAAGGTCAATTCTAGACACCTTATGTTCTCTCTCGTTAAGAGTATGAAGCCACAGGAAGTAACTCAAGTCATGAGTTGTTTTTCTCCTCCATCATGAAATTTGGATGCTATGTGAGAATAAGAACAATTTCAAAAGGAAGGAGAAAAAGTATTTTCAGACTTCAAAAGATACACATACTCTCTACTAATGGTTTTAAGTCTTAAGTGAGCTTAAAGACACATATAGCTTATTGTAGTGAGAACAATAATTAGTATCCAGTAGAATCTTACTGTTAGCAGAAACCCATGGATGAACTCATGCTGAAATGGCAACAACACGCCTATCTCCAAGTGTTAAATATAATGTCTCCCAAGTAACATTCATTTACAGAGTTGCCAGAAGTGAAGACAACCTGAATTATACAAATTACTCTAGCACAGGTAGGAATTAGAAGCGCCATCTGAATTCCAAGCAGTCGAGAGCGAGCCTGCCTTTCTAGCATCAGTACAACCATCTATTAGCACTGAGCAAGACTGCAACTCCATGTGTTAACTTACAGCTCTTCTAACACCGACAAACGAAGTCAACAAATCTAGAGGGTGGTAAGTGGAAAAGAATATTCTACCTCACCCTCCGTTCCAGACACAAGGATACTGAGGTGCACATCAAATTAGGAACTCTTCAGTTCCATAGTTGTAGGCAGAATCAGGATTATGTGTCTACAACTTTTCCAATACTCTTTCCTGGGACTTGGGGACCTCATATGAAACTAAAACCACAAAACTAAGAATAACCAAAATTCTGCAGCAATCTGAAACAGCTTTCCCAGAGAGCTCAAGTCCATTTTAGCTATTAGGGACAAATTAACCAGGCTACACCCTAACGACTAGATCAGCTTAGAGTAGACCTCTGAGGAAAAGCACTTGCCAGAATGCTTCACACTTTAGCAGTGAACACAATGTTCATTTCAGCCCTAAATTAAGTTGTTTTTTCTTTTTTTGTACAACCTCTAAAGATACTGGCAAGGTAGAGTCTTCTAGAACTCTTCTAAAACTCTTCTAAAACTCTGGTTTCTCTCTTCTAAAACAGAAAAAATACTCTTTGAAAGGATTTCACAGTAAAAATAATTGAAACTTCTTACCTTATTATTTTTTTATTTGGGGGCTACACTTGGCTGTGCTCAGGACTTACTCCTGGCTGTGGGATGGCAGCAATTCTGGGAGGATGGCAGAGGGTTGGGACTATATGCAGTGCTGGAATTGATATTGAGTGGACTGCACACAGGAAAGTGCCCTACCCCTAAATTTACTATTTTAACTGTGTTAGAGTCCACAAATGAAGGTCGACCCTCCTGCTAATATCACTAAGAACAATGGCTTTCGTCCTCTGTAAATCTGAGGACTGGTACCTGTTTGCAGATTGGTGGCTGATCTAGAATACCACAAAAGACAGCTATGATCACCATTACACGGCAAACACAATGCACAAACCCAATAATGTCAACCCAATCCCCAATCTCACTGTAAGCAATGACCACACACCAAAGAAGCAAAATTGTGAGAAGGTACTCAAGGACTCTATGAAGACAGGAACTAATTTGCCTAAAAGAAACTTCATCCGCCAATAATTTCAATTTATTATTTTAGCATGACTGCTAATGTATAGAACAAATTTATTAATAGATACAGTGTCATTCATCCCTATCAAATATTATTAATATTGCTTTATGCTGTGAAAAACACCAATCTTTCAAAATCTGCCCAAGTATTTAAATTATGATATGCCTAGAACAAGTATTAGAAGGTAATGTGATAATATATTTAAATTTACCAAAATGTAAAATCTAGAAGTTGAGTTTGTAGATAATACTTTCCTTGCTTTAATAAATGTATTTAAATTTACTCCTCTAACTTCTTTAGGATCTCAATCCCATTTTATCTAATGAAAAAAGCTACCTGTACAGTTGATCATGTTGAGGGCGATACAGTTTTAAAATAACGGGGCCTGAGTGATAGTACAGCAGGTAGGGTTTTTGCCTTGCATACTTGGGTTCAATCTCTGACACCCCATATGGTCCCCCAATCCCCGCCAACTGCCAGATGTGGTCCAAAATCTTAAATAACCAAATAACAAATGTTTACATGTGTTTTGTTTCATGGGCCACACCTGGCAGTGCTTGGCAGACCATGTGGTGCTGCGATTACACTGGGGTGAGACACATGCAAGGCACCTGTACTTGCCTTAACTAACACCTGGACTCCCTCTCCAGCCCATTTAGAACTTTTGAACTGTAACAACATGCTAATTTAACACAAATATAAGGGGAAAAAAAGCTACTTCTCCAACTTTCTGACACACCACTCTACAAGTATGCTTTTCAACACACAGCCTGTAAGAAATGGTAGCATTATTTAAAACAACTATCTGATGAGGTATTTCCATCAAGTCGCAGGAAAATGAAAACAAGAAACTACAAATAAATACTGAACTTTTTCCCTGGGACTGAGGAAAAAAAAAAAAGTGGTGAGCCAAAATGGTATTTTCCCACTCTAAAAGTCTAGTCTGGGAGGAACACCTGGAACATACTGTACCTCTGCCATTTCTGGTGATTTAATCTCCTTGATTTTGAAGAAATAGCCCAGGGTCAGGAAAGCTATTGCCATGGCGCTCACACTGATCATGAAGACCACCAAAGGAGGCCGACTGCTGATGTACAGCTTCAGGTTCTCCAGGGGGTTGATGCTGAACATTATTCTGACCAGCTCCACCTGAAAGGAAATCATCAGAAGACTCAGACTAACTTGGCAAAAGAAAGCTTTATTCTCACTTTTGGTTTCTTGAATAGCACAGGGAGATCACGGAATGGTCAACCTGAGAAACGTTTGATAATAAATCCACTCGAAAGACTGCAATTAAAAAACAATCCAGCTACTCAATGTCAAATGTCATCACTTCAAAGTAAAATATGCCTTCTGCTGGAGTCTTCAAATTATACTAAACACTTGCTACTTCCATTTTTAAAGTGTTATAAGTAGGTCAACATGACACAAACATATGCCAACACACATAAGAAAAGAGATGCTCTAGTCTTCTATCATTGAAAATTCTATTTAACAACATTCTGTCTGCCTGGTGTAAAGTACAGTCAAGCCAAATCCAATACCAAGTACAGAAAGCCACTCAATAAATATTGAATTCCATCAGTCCTTTACTTAAAGCCTTTGTAAAGTTTCCTACTGACCCTAGGGCGAGGCCAGTGACATCTGTATTGGTCCACATTGTTTCAGGATCCTGAAGCCCCAACCACCTCAATGGCTGCATCCCCATCAACTTCCTTTCCTCCCTCATGGTGTTCTGGCCACAACAGTCTTGTTATTTTTTTTAGATCAGTCATCAGTTTCTGCAAGAAAGTCACCTGGAAAGTGGCACTGAACCTGGAAATCAGCTTGGGGAACACTGTCTTCTGGACAACACTGTCTTTCCTACAGACCAAAAGCCTTGGATGCTCTCAATTGACAGAGGTTGTCTTTCACTTATTCCAACAAATTTTCAAAATGTAAGTTTGTATTTCTTTTGATAAATTTTATCCCCATGTACTTCCTTTTTCTTGAATTCTTTTTTAATGGCTTAGCTGAAGTCTTTACCTCTGCCAGAAATGACTTTAAGAATTTCCACAACATTATTCTTCCATAATCTTGTTTGCCCATTAGTCAACTCCTCGGAGAGACCTTCCCTGCCCATCCCCTGCCCCCAGTCTCTTGGTCCCCTTCACACTGTTTAGTACCAGTCAAAAGTACAATTAATTTTCATTTTTAATTTTGGAGAAAAAGATGTATGAAGAGACCTTAAGAACTAACAGCATAACAGCAAACATTTGCAATGTGTGCTGTGTGCTTATTTGTCCTCAGATGGATCTCTGTAATGCCAAAAAAAAAAAAAAAGAAAAAGAAAATTCTCTCCTCTATCCTAAAGGTAACCCCAGTTCTTCAATTGGCAAGTACACATGTTCCACGCACCTTTATACTTTTTAATGTATAAGAAGATACAATTACTGCACTGCCAACTGAAAAGTTGGAGCAAATACGCTTGTGCTATGTTCACTCAACATTCTGTTTCTAATTTGTTAATCTTTGTAGAAATCTAGTCCCATCAATTTCACAGCAGTACAGTATGCAATTGTTTTATAGTTAAGTTGTCCCAAACTGAGGTGTCCAGCTAAGTTCTTCCCTGTTGCGCTTACAAAGACACTGCTGTAGGGGCGAGCACAACGGGTGACAGGGCAAAGGCCGTCTGCATCCTGTCTCTGCTCTCTGACTACTGTCCAAGCTGTGCCAGTTTCTACATTTCCCCAAATCGAGAAACTTTTCTCTCCTTCATAAGCTTTAAGTTTAATCCTATTGATGTTAAATACCCCAAGCAGCTAAGTTTTAATATAGCTTATATTGTCTACCATAGAAGATTCTTGAAATTGGTTAACAGCTAAACTAAGATATAACTCATATGTCATAAAGTTCTTTTGTGTAAAGAATCCACTTCAGAGACCTGGACAGCTGGCACTATAATAATGTTCGAACATTTTAATAATCTCTTAAAGTAACCTTCTACTCTTTGACAGTGATCATGATTCCCATCAGCCCATAATCAACCACTGAAATATCTTAATAGGCTTGTTTTGTTTTGGGTCTACACTCAGCAATGCTCAGAGATTATTACTCCTAACTGCACTCAGTAACTGCTCCTGGTGGGGCTCAGGGGACCATATGGGGTGCTGAGGATCTGCCAGGAGCCAATATGTCAGTACAGCCTGACCTGCAATCTAAGACTAATCTCTTATTGAAAAATGTTAAGATACATTGTGTAAGTTTCTGAGCTATGCCCGGGATAAGTGCCATGAACCCACCCCTAATGAACCCACCCCTAGGGCTCACACCATGATTTACTGAAAATCTGCATGCTTTGTTAATTCCTCATTTTGCCCACTTCCTCATGTAATCAATTATATAAGGCTAGCTTGGGAGAAATAAAGTTGGAGCTTGATCAGAGTCTTGACTTGCTCCCATTCTTCTCTCTCTCTCTTCCCCCCCCTCCCCCCGCCACTCGCGCACCCTCTCCCAGTCATTCATCCACGTTGACTAGTCCCACAGGTCAGGGCAGGGATCAAACCTGGGTTGGCTACAAATAAGGAAAGTGCTGTACACACTGGACTACTGCTATTTCATTTCATTTCATTTCATCATCCTGTTATTCGTCGATTGCCTCAAGCAGGCCCCAGTAACGTCTCTTTCATTCAAGCCCTGAGATTATATTCAAGGCTCTTTAGGAGAATGAGACCCATCATTGTTACTGGTATTTGGCATATTTGGTGCGCCACGGGGAGTTTGCCAGACTCTGCCCTGTGGGCAGGCTACATTCGATAGCCTGCAAATTTGTCCAAAGTAGGAATGAGATAATAAGATGTCATAAAAAAAAGTTCTGATAAGATGTTGCACGGCCGCGGATGCGGCCGCGCGGTTCCGGAATCTGGATTTTATAGTCTCTGAGTCTTGGCCGCTGATGGGATTACACGGTGCCAGGGGGCCAGGTGGTGGGTGTGACCCCCGCCTGCTGGAATTTGGAGGATCTGGGTGGAAGATGCTCGACTCCAATCCGAGTAGGCTTGGAGGTCTCGGCCCCGGAACCCGCGTGGCTTTGTCCCTCTGCCAGTACCTTCATGTGTGTGGAGAGTGGTCTCAGCATGGTGGTGGCTAGTCCTGGAGGTCTTCGGCTGCCAGAGCCCCAGTCGGGGCGGGGAGGAAAGCTCAACCCGCTCCCCTCCAAGCGGTCCCAGCGAGGAACACCCAGGCGTGGGGGCAGAAGACTGCACTGTTCTCGTCCGGGATCTGGATTTTATAGTCTCTGAGTCTTGGCCGCTGATGGGATTACACGGCGCCAGGGGGCCAAGTGGTGGGTGTGACCCCCACCTACTGGAATTTGGAGGATCTGGATGGAAGATGCTCGACTCCAATCCGAGTAGGCTTGGAGGTCTCGGCCCCGGAACCCGCGTGGCTTTGTCCCTCTGCCAGTACCTTCATGTGTGCGGAGAGTGGTCTCAGCATAACTACTGCTATAACCCCTTAAATATCTTCTATCTCTAAAGATTTGTCTATTCTGGGAATTTCAAGTAAATGAAATTATGGGATATGTAGTCTTTGGTGATATTTCACTTAGTGTATTTTTTTCTTTTTGGGTCACACCCAGCGGTGCACAGGGCTTACTCCTGGCTCTGCACTCAGGAATTACTCCCGGCGGTGCTCGGGGGACCATAAGGGATGCTGGGAAACGAACCCGGGTCAGGTTCAAGGCAAACGCCCTACCCACTGTGCTATCACTCCAGCCCCCACTTAGTGTATTTTCAAGGTCTATTTAATGTTGGAACAGTAACAATACTTCACTACTTTTAATTGCCAAGATTATTTATGAAATATTACTCATAAACAATATCCACTCATCATTTGATGGGAAAATCTCTATCATGAATAATGGTGCTATAAAAATGTAAGTCATGGAATGTTTTTCTCTCTTTTGGCTGGATACTTATGAGTGACACTTGAGTCATACGTTAAAACTCTGTTTAACCTTCTGAGAATCTGCAATTGCTCTTCCATATGTGCATTCTCAGCAGTGTAATGATTCTTCAATTTCTCTACTTCTTCAACACTTACTCTGGCTTTTTTTCAAAGTTTACATCTATCCACTTTATGCCTCTGATACTTTGCAAATTCATTTTATTTTCTCTATACATCATATATTTTCATTTTTCTCCCACAAGTTTTATTTTTTACTTTTAATCTCACTGGAATTAGACAAGTCTGCAATGAGGTAGGTTTCTTTTAACTTTTTTCTATAGTAGTAGTCAATTGTTACTGAAGATGGTTCTGTAATGCACGAGTTTCCCATAAATTTGTAATACTCTCACAAATACCAAGCTCCTATACACATGTAGATTTTCCTTTTTTCATTCACTTTCTTTGAACATTTGTGGGGGTTTATTTCAGTATGAATTTGATAGTAAACATGAAGAAATGAGGTTCATCTAACACACTTTTCACATTTTTCATAAGAACACCGTGTGGTGTGTGTGTGTCTGTGTGTGTGTGTGTGTGTGTGTGTGTGTGTGTGTGTGTTCACTAAGTAAGGTTAGTAGACAGTGTAGGTTTTCTCTGTAGAGGACTTCTTTAGAGTGAGCAAGCTTTTGTCATTCTGATTATCTTCAGAAGAGATCCCTCCTGTTCAATTACTCCAAGGAGATTAAGGCATGAGTTCACACACGTTCTTTCTCACATTGGTCCTAATCATATACATTCCATCTCAGTGATCAATTTCCACCTCAACCTTATTGGACATTTTCTTTCCAACATTAAATGACTGAAATGCGTGTTTTAAATTTGCCATTCTGAATCTTCAAACAGTTTGTCAAACTGTGAGGCAACATCTCTTAGCCTCTGTTATTTCTTAAGAATGGCAGAAGGGAAAAAAATAATTAATAAATTAGTAAGAATGGCAGAAGGGCTCTCTACGAAGAAAATTCAGGGATCACAGGTCAGAGAGAGACGGACCTTCAAGTCAGGAGCTCACCAACTTGAGAGGTGGAGCAGACATTTGGAGACTTAATCCTGAGTACCTGCAGGTTCAATGGCAGACCCACCACTCTATTCTTTTCGCCTCACTAGCATGCTTGTCTGACTCTTGCTATCTACTACAAGAATACAATCATTTTGCTGTTTTTATT